AACAATCATGTTCATAAATTCACCTAAAGTCCCAAAGCTAAGTTTAATCAGATTCCTGACATCATTACGAAATATCCATCGCTTCACAAATCTCTTTCGCGGTGATCAAATGTTGTTTCATATCCTTCATTTTGTTGAATATTTCATTCTCGAACTGTCTCACATATTCACAGTATGTCAGAGATCCCATGTTATTTTCTAAATTTTCAAGAAATTTCCAAATCATCTTTCAATTCTCTTTTTCGTATTTCTAGTGTGCCCGGCTTGTTATCACGTTGCCTAGATTCCCACAGATTGCTCCGGTTAATCAACCTTTAAAGGATAACCATCCTGATCATACTTCGTGTTACCATCCATGATGATACCTGTGATCTCCTCCTTCGTCTTGGCTCTGTGACCTTCCTCTTGATCTCGTCTGAAGAGTCTCGATGTTTCAAACTCCACACTGCTTTTAACAAAATAGCTTTTGAAATTTTCTGAATAGGTAGATGACTATATAGGAACTGTGAACACGTTGAATCCAGCTATTGTTCTAAAGTCTTCCAAAACCTCCCATGTAACCACCATGAGCAATTTCCCTCACCACCGTACATCCTCTTGGCTAATTTTCTTTTCCTTCGTGAAGGTTTTCTGATTCAAACAATGCTTTCGGGTTTCGATTTTTTGCCGCCTTCGTTACTATATGAGTTTCTTCTTGTGTATCTTCTTCTTCGAGGTATAGTTATTTCTACACCCATACAACAACACTATGGGACAATTTATGCGCTCGATGTTTCATATTTCGATGTTATTTAATTTACCTCATGCAAATTTCATTCGCTCTATGACACTTTATGTCGCATTGTTCAATCATGAATAGCTACAGAAATTCAGTAGATCTAACATTTCGCTCTCAGGATAGGAAAAGGCAGAGATGTTTTGGACGAAACACGACTAATTTCGAGTTTTTAGTCGTTTTAAGGAGGCGTTTAGCGCAGCAGTTATAGGCTCCGTGCAATGCCATAGATTCGATCCCGCGCTCCAGTCTCACCAAGGCTTCCATCCATCTGGCGTCAGCAAATTCGTACGTGTCTGGGAGGATTGCAGCACTGGCTCGATACATCGGTAGGCCACCGCGAGTCATTCATTGTAAATGCCAGATGTGCATTCAATCTCCTCGAAATGATGCTTAATGAAGTCGAATGCATGGCGTATCCATCAGGAATTGATCAACGCCGAAAGCTTTATTCTTTATCTTAAGGACCACTGCCATGCTGAGGTTCGAGAGAATGGCTATGTCATTTCAAATAATGCTTCATTTCTCTGTTTACCATACCCAAGGATGAAATTTGCCTCACAGGCATTCCACAAGGCCCTCTGTGTCGTCTGATAAGGTGGATGGTGAGATAAGAACGAATGGAAGATATTTCTTTAGGAAATTCTAGAATTTTCTCTTCTTTTCCTCATTTGTTCTCTCCCGCATTCTCTCTGTCATCACATGTCCGATTTTGTAGTTAACCAACACCGCCAGGAAATTGTAAAGACTCAACTTCTTCCTGCGGTGCTCCATTCTGATTCATTCTTTGAAGGAAACTTCTTTTTGTTCCTTCTCTTCTTTTTTGTTCGCCGGAAAATCTTTGTTCCCTATTCTACAGACCAATCACTACTCCTTTCAACCCATTCTCGTTTTTCCTCTTCTAGAACGATCAGGTAACTTAAGAATGAAGTCTCTTTTCCCTACAAAAGTTATCAACCACAGCACACTTCACTTGCCTCCTCGTAGTTTGTAAAATGAATATTTACTTCATTTCAGACTCGTTTTAATTACGATCATTGTGAACAAAAAATTACTAGCGGTATTAATAAACTTGTTTAAAACAGATACTCAGGAACTTTCTATCCTAATTTCGCCACTATACGGAAGCATTACTGTCGACATAAAGAAAGATGTTCGTCAAGGTGAACCATTAAAGCCGTTCCAAGGAGTTTATTTGAAATTAGCCAGGAAAAGGGAGCCGATGACCATCCAGCTATACCTTCATTGCAATGTTGATGATAACGTTCTTATAAATATTAGCCGGGGCAACAACAGCTGACCGATTTCGACAGCATTTTTGGAGAAACTGCTCCTCCATTTAATATTACAAAACGATGTTCATAGGAGCGTTTTTCTTCCGATGTCCCACTTACGCTCAAGTGAAAGAATATCTTCCAATGTTATCAAGTTATGAGTGCCTGAGTCGAGAAGTCAACAATGATTAGAAACTAAGCTTCAAAGATTAGCAGAAGGAAAGTTAAGTAACTTACGAAGGTATCAGAGATGTAGTTAAGAGCACATAGTTCACCAGTTTTCATGCACATACTTTTTCTACTCTCTTTTTCTGACGGCTTTAACGTCACCTCAGAATCCTGAACACTATATAAGCAGAATTAAAGAGCGTTCAGCGTCATTCAAAAAGCTATTTGTGTGATGATGACTGGAGTATCTGGTAGAAAGCATGTGAAAGAAGACATCCATAATTTCACCTTACGTCGCCGACCAAATTTCAGAAAAGCCAAGTCATATGCTGGAACATGTGAGATGTCATAATAGCAAAACCGTTGGAGAAGAGGCACTAGAAAATGAGTCCTCATTGACAAAATAGTCAGATTTCTCCACATAATCCTAGGATAAGAATACGCCCTTCGTGTCGCTTGATAGAACTGAACCCACTGAGCAACTACCGCTCGAAACAGAGATGAATGGACAGCATTTCTACTGACCGTTCAACTTAGGTGATGACAACCAGTGACAAGATAGGGGGCAGATGATTACAGAAAAGATGACATCAGTGAATGAAGAACAAAAACCATCACATTTGCAATCCTTTCGCAAATGAGTAGTATGTGTATATAAGGGAGAGAGTGTGTGGAAGATGAAGAAGAGAGGAGAGAATGTGTGAGAGAGAAAGAAAGAGACAGAGGAACGAAAAGGTTACGACACTCGTCGGCGATGATGGACGTCAATATGAACTCCGACCAACTGTGACGTTTTTGTTAAACTTACATCGGGAAAAACTTCTATCAATCGACGGAAGGTGAAGTGTTAAGAATAACATGCAAACACGTAACCAGATGTAAGACCGGGGTTATCAGGCTATACAATCATCTCAAATTTTTTACTAACTATGATACATTCTACTTCAACAAAACCAAACCAGAAAAAATGTATTTCCAATTATGTTCAAAGATAATTTTAAAAAAAGCGATAAAGCTCTCGGCGTTGATCAATCTCTGAGGGATGCGCCTTGCATTCAACTTCATTAAGCACCGTTGGAGGTGATTGAGGGCATATCTAGCCATTATAATGATTCAGGATGCCCTACCGATGTATCGAGCTAATGCTGCCAGCCTACCAAATAAGTCTATTACCAATTTGCCGACCCCGCAAGGATGGAAGGCTTGGTGAACCTAGGGTGCGGAGATCGATCCCATTTGTATTACAGGGTGCCTGCGACCAATGCGCTACACGCGCACCAATTTAAAAGTATTCCAGTAATTCCTGAGCGTAATTTCTGAACACAGACAGTGTAACATTCTAAAGCAATCCACATAACTGAATATATTAACCGAATAGGACACATCGGTGCGGTATTTCACAGAACTCATTTTGAAGACTAAATAAAAACACCTGGGAGAGCGAACCATGAAACTCAACTCCGTACGAAAGGTACCGGCCAGAACATCGTTTCTTCCATAAACTCGTTTGATAACATCATCTCATTCTTCATATTCACTCACTTAAGCGTTCACATCCGACTTTTTAACTGTTGTTGTTTGGAATTTCGTGATTTGTTTTCTAAACTTCCTTACACTATTGATCAACAAATGGCGCCAGGAGCGCAATAGTTTGAGGCTGCCCTGCAGCACACACGTTGTCGTTGGTTCCATTCCGCCTCTTGGGCTAATAAAGCCTTTCAACTCATCGGGATGGGCAAATTGCTACCAGAAATATCTGCCAGTGGACGGAACCAACCATTCCAGAGATTGGCAAGACATCAAAAGTCGTTGTATAGGCCAAATATGCATTAAATCATTTCCTACAGCGCTTAATGAAGTTTGATGTTTTATTCATCAACGAACAGTATGCAAATTATTATAGACATCCAATATCTTCTTCAAAAGTACATTTCCCCTCCCAACGGTTTACCGCCTCATCGTGGCTGGTAGGAGGTACAGCGGGGGATACACCCCTCTGGCATGGCCCTCCAAGCCGAGAAGGAGTCTGGCATTTCCATCAGGAAACCCAGCTAGGAGGAAACAAATACTAGGATCCACCACCGTCCTGATATGAAACTAGTTGCATGGTAGCAAATCTCCCTCTGATCCACAAAGACGGTGACTCCCCTGTGGTGGTGACGACCTGGGGCAGATTTTCGCCAGCCTGAGACCACAATGGCTAGACCAGCAAAACTCCGAACAAGGGAAATTATGCTGAGGCCTGCACAACCAGTGAAAACGGGCCATCCAAATACCATGTAAGTAAAGTACATTTCCATTGCATCTTAACTGCAGTGGATTAAAGCTTCCTTTACAACATTGTCCTGCGCTTAATAATAAATCATAAGGCACGTGTAAATCGAGTTATATTCATAACGAAATACGAGAAGAACTTGACGAACACATTCGTACTGACAAGAAACTTGAAGAGGTTCCGCCACTTTCATTACGGTACGCGCCGAGTAACATCTATACGGATCTCTTCTCACTTGGTGTGTCAACTACAACGGGAGATTTCTGCGATCTTTGATGTTGTTAAGTTAACGAGATGTTATTTTAAAAAATGTGTTAATCAAACTAGAAAAGGTAAAGGTAGGGTAGAAGAAAACATTTCGCGAATGAACGACCATAATTTGAGTCAGTTCGAAAACGTTCTCACATTCGAGAACGTTCTTCAGCTATTTCTCGCGACAACGACACGTCACAGAACGCCGCCGCGGCAGCTTAAGCCGTCTGGTCGACTGCGCTATACATGATGCACATTATGCCTCGACTATTCTGCACATCCCGCTTCTCACCGTCGATGGCATTTGATCTGTCCTTCTGTCCGTCCGTCTGTCCGTCTGTCCGTCCGTCATGTCCCATCCTGTCCGCTTCGCTCCGCTCACGTCGTCTAGCTGGGCTCCGCCAGCCCAGCCCATAGCGAACACTCCGCACAGGCATAGATTAGCCGAAAAGTCGTCCGTCCGTCCGCCCGGCCTGCGATCCGGTCGATTTTCTGCAGCCATGACGTCATCCGTTGTTTTCTGTCGGATCATAAAGTTACGTGATTATTCATCTGGTAGTAGAATCCCAGATGTGTTCTGTCTTTCCGTCATCTCGTATTTCCCAACTTTTGCTTAACGAATTCACATTGGATATTACATAACTTTAATTCCACTGATTTTACTTGTTCTCAATCGAAACTGAGAAGTGCTGTTTGGCGGAAATCACTCCAGATGCGACGAGGTCGAGTGATTTTGACTCTATTTCTTTCCCTCCATTTGTTTTCCATTCTTTACACATACTATATTCTGTGAAGTAAAAATTATATGATATTAACATATGTCCAGACATTTTTCTTTCACTGCCTTTAACTAATCTCCACTTGACTCCCTAGAAAAGAACATCGAGCAGCAGTGGTTTTTGTCGTAGGCACATTATCTTCCTACTGTATTGAAAACTTGGACAGTAGATCTTTTCGCGATATATGATAATCACTGTATTTTTATTTATTTATTTGATTTTGATTTTACACTAACTCTCATCGCATCTACTGGGCCGATCCCTGCACATCTGGCGTTCGATTCGTTTCCTCGTATCTGTCATCCATCAGTGACTTCCCAACTTTTCATGTGTGAATTTGGCTACTGTTCCAGGATTTTTACACCAACTGTCATCACAACTACTGGGTGGATCCCTGTACATCATATTGCATTCTATTCGCTTCCCCGTATTCACCGATTTGGTTACTATTCCAGGATTATCGTCTTCCTTATAAATGCGCCTGAATGTTGGTCGAGTTAATTCTCTCTGGAGTCATCGGAAACCTGGGCTAGAGGCTTTTATAATCACTGGATTACCACAGCTTTATCTTTTAATATAGAAAGCCACATTTTCATTTCTCATCGTTTCGACCTTGTCTTAAGCCAAACTCAATTCTCGGTCTTCAAAGCAAAAATAAAATTTTATTAAAATACGTTTAGCGTAGCCTTCGTTCAGCTTTTCTTCAGCGAATAGGCTGTCTGACTCAGACTTAAGCTCTGTGAATTCTATGAAGGAATCGGCTAACTTGGCAATAATCGCATTTGCTGATAATCCTTCCTAACCACATTTGTGGATAACCGTCATATAAAATATCAAGAAGAAATTCACAGAATGCATGCCTTTCCCTAGAGGTCCATACTTCCAAGGTTTTGTGGAATCATTTAAAATATGATCGAAACTTAGAAGTTAGTAAAGTCATTGTTGAGATTTCAGGCCAAATAGTCATCGTCTCTCTCAATTTTGAATCAAAATTCTGAAATTTTTTTATAATGAAAGTTCAGTATCATCGAATCCAAAGTCGTACTGTAGCTCATCCTGCATGAAGAATTCTCTGTTGTTTTTTTTCTCTTCGGAGGTCGCAAAGATCAAATTGCCTCATTTGGTATGGAGAGTTTCGTCATTTTGTGAACATCTGAATTCCAAAGAGAATGATGATTAGGAATCCTTTTCCTAAACATGTTTTCCTTTAATTAAACACTAGAATGCCGATATAGTCTTATATCTTATGTAAAGCAGACGAAAGGGCACACGTAGCACAGTGGGTAGAAGTGCATTGCAATGCACAAGTGGTCATTTGTTTGATTTCGGAAGTTATTCTTTATCTATCTTCCCTCCACCGAACATTTATACGTAAGCAGTTTTTTTTACGATGTTTTTTCAAGGGTGATTATTCGCCTAAAATAACAGTTCCTGAATTTGCATACATCAATAAATAAGCCTCTTAACGGAGCACTGGATGGTGATATTTAGATCAGACGATTTTTTTAGATTCCTCTAAGGCGATTAGTTAATTAGATAAGTAGGTAAGTAGGCTCGCCTACTGGTCTTACGATAATCGCCAAACTGTGGTCGATTGAGAGATATAGCCTTTTGGGATACTCTGGAGGTTTTCGACGGCTGCTAACTTTATGCTTCATAGACCGTCCACTTGGTTCTACAACTGTCATGGATGTGACCTATTATGAGAAAACTAGTTTACTCTTACGATAACCTTCGCTTAGAGTGAAGTAGAATTTCTCAGCATGCGTGAATATACTAAAGAGTGAGTGATCTTGGAATTCAATACTATACAATACTGTTAGTATTGACACTGTTGACGGGTGATTGATGATGGCAAAAGATCGATAGAACTAGCAGACAGGCGAAACGAAGGACCCGTATGGTGTGGTGGTAAACGCGTTACTCCCTGGAAAGGACAATAGCTCGTTCGTACCCCACTGCAGACACCTGCGGTTCGGAGTTTTGCAAATATCTCAGCATTGTAGTAATACTGTCAGTGTTAGTCACTTTAAGCTTCGGTTTAACTGAGTTCAATTGCGACTTGTGCCCCCAAGATCATTCTCGTTGAGTGATGGTTCCTGATAGCACCGAGAAGGTAAAAGATGACTAAAACAAAGGCAAAGCAAGAGCCTTCGTTGGTATGGTGGATGATGGCACGTGAGGCCGCAGTAAGAATAATCGCGTGTTTGAAATCTACCTGAGGCTCTTAGTTCTGTTCATATCTCAGCACCTCTATGGTTGTATTACAAATGGTAACGTGTGCTGGAAAAAATAGGCAGAAAATGGAAGCTTGTGTTAGTGTTAAACCTTACACGAAGCTAGTTCGAATGTCGAACGAAGAGAAAGCTTCCAAGACCGACTTTCTTTTAACTTCAGCATTGATCAATAACGCACTGGTTTTCTGGATGAATAAACACAAGTTTATTTCGTATGAAATGCTGGGATATTTGCAAAACTCTGGACCGCAGGTGTATGCAGTGGGGAACAAACACAAGCTGTTGTCCTTACCGGGGAGCAGCGCACTTCAGCACTTCACCACCACACCATCCGGCTCCTTCGTCTTGCCTGTCTCTCAGCTAGTTCTATCGATCTTTTTGCCATCAGCAGTCACCCGTCAACGGGATTGATCTGGGGAGCCCAAATCGGCATTGAACCCAGTTAAGCTGAGGCTTAGTTATAATCGTAATCTTAACCCTTTTATTTACTGCCTTTTTCTTCTTAACGGCAGGGTATGTTGCGAAATATAACTCGCATGAAATGCTGATATATTTGCAAAGCTCCGGACCACAGGTGTATGCAGTAGGGAACGAACACGCGTTGTTGTCCTTACCGGGGAGCAGCGCACTTCACCACCACACCATCCGGGTCCTTCGTCTTGCCTGTCTCTCAGCTAATTCTATCGATCTTTTTGCCATCAGCAATCACAAAGTTACTTGTTATTATAATATTTATTGATACAGAATAGCTTACATTTCGGCGCTTTTGCCTTTTTCAGAGCCTGGAAGAGACAAATTGACAAGCAATAACCATCCTCATACTAATCATCATTTTCTAAGGATGCATTCACACAGTGGACGTTGCATTCCTTCATAAGTATCATTCGTCGTCCGTATAAGACTCTATGGGACAGGTTTCCACCAAATAACCGGAAGACTTACAAAAAACAAAATGCCTGTGAAGAAGGCAAAACCGCTGAAACGTCAGCTATATGGATACTAATAAATGCTGTAACAACAAACAATCTCGTATTTGCTCATCTAGAAAAACAATGAGAGAAAAATTATCAACTTCGCCTATCACCTGCGCCACTTTTCTTCCGTTAATCTTCGATTCCCTCCACTATTCCAGTAAAGTCGCCATCCATTCCTATCACACACTAAGGCAATTCACCGGACTCAGCTCACTAATGTGAACATAAGCAAATGTTACATTTTTCGTATAGAGCCCTGTATTCCACTGTTTTGGTCGAGAGCCTAACCACAAGTAAGTTCTCTCAGTGGCAAAAGTTTATTGCACCCGGGCTTCATGTAGGCTTTTTCTCGTTGTAATTTACTCCTACAACATACTCCAGTCTGCATTATTCTGTTGTAAGGCTAGGGAATCACTGAAGAAGATAAGGAATTTGGACTAGAATGTTCCGGTATATCAGCTGTACTGAACAAAGACGGAAAGGGTTCTGGACTAGAATGTTCCGCTACATCAGCTGTACTGAACAAAGGCGGAATCACCAAAACCTTTTGCCGTAATATAGAGTGAATAACGGAGAGCTTCTATAGTTTTCCACCTAATATTAAAACCAAAAAAAGCGCACATATACAGATCCTAATGACATAATAGGCGATTCTGTACCATTTAGAAGCCACGAAATATGTCTTCACAGGATTTTATGAATAGCGATAACCGCTTTTAGGAAAAGCTGCTTTAATGGGTTGAATGGAAAGTTTATTATCTTCTGTGTTGTCATGAAAAGTCACGTACTAACGAATCCAGAGATTCGCTCTCCCCTGTATAAGCTGGCGATTACAGTGTTCCCTAGCACATCGACCGCATTCTGAACGCTTTGGTTTCCATCCTGATTGGAAACACAGGAATGTCTTTTGAAGTGGAACAGTTTACCGAGCACTCGGCTCGGATCCATCACGGCTCAGTTCAACGAAGACCCCAACTTCCTGTTACGATCTATTCCCTCTTCATGTCTCTATTAAGACTTTACATGTAATTTGGAACTAATGACAAAGTAATATTTGGACCCGACGTCAGGATCAAAAATCAAAGCTCGTAGACATCACTTGCGATAGCTAAAGATGACGTCAGGTAATGACGGTTGCTCTGTAAACGGAGTAAGTATGAGGAAGTAGTGGAACAAATAAAATGAAATAAAAAGTAAAATAACAAAGTCAGGTACGATCAGTTCGATAATTCATAAATATGTTCGATAAGTATGACCGATATGAGCACCACTATGGCGACGCGTGTTGATCCCAGTGCGCACGTGGCTCAATGGAGTGAGTGAACTCCTCAGCTTTAAATAATCATATCTCAGCTCGTAATAAACTTTCCTGAATGCGATAAACATTGGAATCAACAGATTTTTGCCAATAAGATGATGTTAATTATTCGACGACTTCAAAACTCTGATTCTTTAGAGCCCTTAAGCTGTCCTAAAGTTGTTATTTTTTGGCGGGATTGTATGTCGAACGGCGAAACGAGAACTGAACCGATGCGATTTAGTCCAGCAGGGCACGGTTATGACCTCCAATATGTCGTTCTTGTTTACGGCAATCGCACTTGCGTTAAAAGTTTCAAACGTTCAAGTTTTTGTACCCGATTTTTCTGAACGTTTTAATATTAGTCAAGCTTAAGAGTAAAATAACATTTGGAAAAAATAAATATATATGTTCTTAGAGCGAAGTCTTTTCCGTGCATAGTGTAAACATTTCCTTAACTGAACTAGTTATCGATAAATTGCTGGTAATTTTCGAAGACCTAGTACTGATGCGGTAGGTAGGAAATAGGAACTTCAAAAAAAGAAAGAAAGAAAGAAAGGATGAACCAAGAATGATTTCGATTTCGTCAGTTGTTTCCTTTATTCCGTAATTGCGACCAATATAAATCGTTTCGATTGTTTTACGACATAATATCGATACTTTCTTCTAACCTATCGTGACTTTCTATGCTCTATTTTTTAGTTTTTGTACTGTCGGTATTATTTATACTCTTTTTTATACTGCAACGTGTTGTATGCTTATCAACGCTACTGGTTTGACTAGTAACTCACGCATGGACAATTGGACGGCCTCTCCTTACGGTTTGCGTGGGCCCCACCATAATCTCCATTTTTCAGAGTTTTGCTGGTTTAGCCATTGTGGCTTTCTGGAACCGCGAGGTTATCCTGGCCAAAGTCTCTCCCAGTGAGTAGTAACTAATGAAGTGAAGTCTGAAATTCGTGTATGTAAAGTTTGATAGGAGGTATAGCTCCTAGAGACAGGATAGTTTGTTATTTCATATTTGCAAAAGTACGTTTGAATATATTCATATCATTAATTATATCATCAAAATAACCATCACAGGTCCTTGTTACTGTATTAAGGAGCGCGTGTGGCGCGGTGGTTGGAGGCGCCACTGCGACACACACGTGGAGTCTATTCTGCGCCCATGGCCCCCCGAGACTTCCATCCCTCCGGGGTCGTTAGGTTGGCAACAGAATTGTCTGGAAGGATAGCAGCACTGGCTCGATATATCGGTAGGCCACCGCAAGTCATTATAAAGGCCAGATATGCACTCAATCACCTCCAGCGATATCTAATGAAGTCGAATGCATGGCGCATCCCTCAGGGATTGATCAACTCCGAAAGCTTTGCGCTTTTTATCCTTTACTACTGTATTACTACACGGAAAATAAGAATCTCTGCAAAATCGTAAGGTACGACTTAAAATTGCTCTTCCAGTGTTGATTGGTAGAGTTCAGGCAGAATTTGATATTAACTGATATCTGCACATGTAGTTTGTTTTTTATGTTCTTCCAATCCTCTGTGTATCATTTCTTTGTCGTACTTAGAATCTTGCGTGGCCCATCTTCCCTAGTTTTGCTGGCTCCAGCATAATTTTCGTTTTTTCGGAGTTTTGTTGGTATAGTCATTGTTATTCCCTGGAGTCCCGAAGTCAGCCAGGCCAAAGTCTGCCCCAGATCGTCACTACCACAGGCAGTCGCCCTTCTTATGAATGAGAGTAAGATTTGCCACCATGCGACTAGTTTGATACCAGGACGATGGTGGATCCTGGTATTGTTTTAATGTTAGCTGGGTTTCCTGATGGAAACGCCGAACTCTTCAATTCAACTTGGGAACCTCTGATGGGCGATGGGTACGCCGCCGTGCGTCACAACCCGATACCCAGGTACACCTCCCAGCGACGATGAGGCGGTAAAGCGTTCGGAGGGTTTCTTTGTCGTATAATGTGAAACTCTGGTTTTTTCTTCTCTGTCTCTCTTTTGAGAGTATTTTTGTTGTCGCCACTTTCACAAAGGTTGTTATCGATTTTTGGGATGTGTGCTATCCTCGTAGTTCTTTCTGAATTCGTTCGAAGCCTTTCACTTGCAACTTACTTGATGTCGTTATAGGCACTTTTGAGCGATTTCGAGAACGTTCTTCATCTTTATCGTTTCTTCTGCGAGTAATCCCTAGAGCTTTGTGATGGGACATCCGTTCAATAATATTTTACAGCTCTATTCATTCACGACTTTTACACTTCATTTTTCAAGGCACCAAGTTTTTCGCATCAACGGCCAGATTTCATTCACTTCACTTAGATGTCGATTACTCGAAAAAGGCGATTACACAAGAGAATCTCTCTACTTTAGAGGTGCGATCCGTTCACTTTTTTAAAAAGGCCTTATTGCCATCTTTCTTTCATTTGAACTGCTGTGCTTCGTTTTTGGCTTAGTTCACCAAGTTTTCAAATCATCATCTTTTGGCTCGTACTTTCAAAGAACTTTTTCCTTCGTATTTAATGAATCTAATTATTTCTATTATCCTTGTCAGTGTGTTTTCACGTTCCACGTGGTCTCATGTATCATTACTTTTTGGTATATTTCAATTTAGATGTCCGGAAGCCTTAGAACAGCACGGGTATGCTTTGCCGTTGACGTTGAGGATTTGGGTCCATCATACTTTGTACTTGTGACCGGTTCAACTACATCACTTGGGAAATGGGATCCTCTCAAAGCGAAACCCCTTACGAAGGATGCCGACAGACCGTCTGTTACTTACATCATACATTAGTGATTTATTAGTGGATTGAAAACTGGCTGAGAGACAGGCGAAACGAAGGGCCTGCATGATGTGGTGGTGAACGCATTAGTTCCCGAAAAGGGTAATAACGGGTTCGATCCCCACCGCTCAGAGACCTGCGGTCCAAAGTTTCGCAAATATCTCAGCGTCATTGTGGCTGATTTTCAAAAATTACCTTGTTGTAAGAAATTGTATTGGGCAGTAAATAAAAGTTAACATAATGATTACAATCTTAACCTTTTATTTGGTGCATACTATAATTTTTTACAGCAGGGTATGATCTGAAGTGCAACCACAACGGTGCTGAGCCGCCGGGCTAGATCGAACCACAAGGCCCTCCGTGGTGTAGTATGTAATACTCAGGTCCCTGGAAAAAGGGGTAATCGTGGTTCGGTCTAGTCTAGGGTACAAGTTTTGCGAACATCTCAGTATCGTCTTGGTTGTGTAATGATTATATTTGTTTATAAACCTGATGCGAGGTTGGTATAAGTTGTCGTTGTCGTTGTTGTTGTTGTTGGTGTTGGTCGATGACTGACGTTCCGGTGATTTCGCCTTCCTCAGAGCCGCCTTTAGTCTCACTGGAGTGGAGTCTCACTCGTAACAACAGGGCTCTGAGGAAGACGAAATCACCGAAACATTAGTCATCGATCAACACCAAGACCGACAACTGTACCACCCTCGCATCAGCTCATTACCACTTTATAAGAACATATAAATAAATACATCGATTATTTATGCCGACGTTTATAGAAAGTCGGTCTTTTGAATGGCCATAGTGTTTTATTGAGTATTATTTCAGTACTCGTTGGCGTGGTTTTGTGGATACAACGGACGATGATGTCCGTTTTCGATATTTCATTGGCTACTTCCTATCGAGCGAACAGGGAGAGCGTCTGATCATAGGTGAAGACGTGTCCAACTCCGTGATAAGCGTAGTGAAATTCCACACACACACACACACACAAATAAATGAGTGTCGACGTCGTACGAAGTGAGTATTGCACGTGACTGACATTGTGTTGTACAACTGTATTGTGTGATGTTCGACACTCTTTATCCACCCACCAACTGCAGCCTGAGAGCGTATAGTGTGGCGATTCTGATGATCTGAACGACTGTAGTAGGTTTTTGTCGTTCTCATGGTATCTCTCGCTGGCCGTCACTTTCTACATGCGGCTCGGTACTTCTTCCCGGTCAGCCCGTGCTCTCGTAGTCTTAAATTCAAATTTTGATGGTTTGTGTGCTTTATTTGTAATTAATGAACTCCATAGAGAAATAGATTGACTGACTGAAATCTTTTTCATACTTCTTTCACCTGATTACACTTCTTTTTTCTTTTTTCTTTTTGCCACTTCAATATGGCTGCATAAACTTGAAAAGAAAGAAAAAATATGAAAAAAATCGAAGTGTCATCGTAATTCTTTGTTAGACATTGCGTTCTTTGTATCCATATAATGTCTTCAAGGAAAACGCATGCTAGTGAAGCAGGAATTCTTTTAGGAACACCTCTATCTAGTATTGGTCTGTTATGTGTGAATGCGGCGAGATTGAACCGAACTGTAATGAACGTCCGACGGCCGCCAGATTGTTGTGGCCCCAGTTATGCCACATTTTGGGCTAATCGAACTCTTCCACGAACTCCGTTTTTTTGCCTTTTTTTTAACCTAGAACCAAACTGAATAGGAGACGGAGTATTGTCAGCTGCAAGCGACATCTGTTAGATGAGCGATTCTCAGAACCTTGAAGATTTTTCTTATTTCTTCTTACTGTTTGGGAAAGAAGTTATGTAGCGGGGAATAGCAATGCGAATTCAATAGGATAAGTAGGAAGAAGTTTAGTGCTTACTGGCTTCTCAAAAATTAGCCTTGGATCTTTTGCTTATTGTTTTGGACTAGAACAATTTGGCAGATGTGTGGAATGTCAATGAAAACTTCGCCGCTGATAAGGGAGTGAATGAATGACGTTGCGAAAGAACTATGCTATTCATCATTGAATTTGCCTTTAAATTATGACCAAATAGCTTTATTTAGGTCTGATTAGAAAACAGTAGGTAAATTTCCACATATTTATTTCGAAGCAGCGCTATGGAAGTAAGGATACGTTCCCCTGTTAGTTTCTTTAGCGAAGATTAGTTAGTAGACTTTAGAGGATTTCTTTATTGTATAGAGAGTTCTCGAATTACAGAAAGTATTTCTTAGTTAAGTAGAGAATTCTCTATTTTATAGAGGAATTTTTATATAGACTGAATCAATACAGGATTCCTGATTTGCCAGTATGGGCTTGTCTGTAACCTTAATTAAGGTTTCAACATTTATATACTTAAATATAATAAAGTTCGGTAGTCGGTGAAATGATCCACGTTTAGAGGATGACGTCATCAACACCAAATATGTTAGGGACATAAGTATAACGTATATGTGGTGTTTAGTAATAGAATTGTAATATAGCATTTGATACATACAGGTGTAATCATATCGGCGTTGATAAATTTCATCGATGCGTCACAGAATCTACTCTTTCTGGAGTGAATTTATCAGATCTCAGCACATTCATTACTTATTGGGGTCAGTGTATGGACAAGTCAATGTTTAATTTTCGCATATGGTGGAGATCTACCACTGGCATATTCACCTGCTGGGGTTGAGGGATGTTTAGTAAATCGTACTTACCTTTTACTGAGTGCAAACGTCGTAGTAGTATCCTAGTTTTGTTAACGATTTAGTCAGTATGGATGAAGCACAGACGACAACTGAGGAGATTAATGAGGCTAGAAGAAGTACAGGATTGTACCGCGAATGAATCGTATGAAAACCTATTTCATGAGAAACACATTCGAAGGTAACGATGTTGAGCTGCATGGTTCTAGTATTGCTGAGACCGTATCTGGGTGTATTTCGTGAATAAGGGAAAGCTGTATGAAGGAAGCACCTATGAAAAGCCGGCAGTCATCTAAAGAAACATGAAGCCTTTGTTGACGTTTTTGACGCAGCGCTCTGTTCAGGGGTTTTAGTGCGTAGCAAAATTTTGAACACACCTGCAGACTACTTGATGAGTGTATTCTGGAATATAGCCATCAAGGATAAAATCTAACGGGGGGGGGGCTACCGGATTGAGACTATCCAGTGCTATCCTATCTTCAAGGTTTTGAAGAATCACTTGGAAAATGAAGTATAGATCGGCTAATCACCTAAAAGGAAGAATCAACGACGGGTGAACGAGAAGAATAGTAGCATGAACTCTACAGGATACAAATGGTTTTTGGAACTACCACTGTACAGTGGGCAAACGTTTTATAAATAGCACAAATCGGTTCTGTTCTCAAATGGAAATGCCTCGTACGTTCACAGGATGATTCCTTCTTTCCGTATTTTACACGAATCCTGCGCATCACATCTAATGTGCGGATCCCAGCACTTCTTGTATTCGATTTATTTCCGCATATTCATCATCCACGAAGTCCTTTAAAAATTTCGCGTGTTGTTTCATTTGCTGCTTGAGGAATTCGTCTTCGTTATGAATATCATAGAATGCTGGTCGAGTCTGCTGTAATTGTCCAGTCTTGGAGATAACAGGACTAAAGCATTTCTACGTAGATTGTGCTCTCCTTCATTCACTGGTTGATACTAACTCTCATCACAATACTCGAGAAAAACGCCGTAGGTGATCATCACGAAGCAAGGAATTAACGATTTACTAGAGCTGGTGCCACTCGTAAAAACGAGCTGTAGAAATATCCAAATCTCACTCAAAAAGCCGACTTTCAGTAAACCTCGGCATAGATAGTTGATATATTTATTTCTATGATCTTATAAACTGATCTTCTTTAGCGAGGTTGGTATAGGTCTTCGTTGTTGTTGTTGCTGCTGCTGGTCTTGTTGGTCGGTGGCTAACGTTCCGGCGATTTCGCCTTGCTCAGAGCCGTGATGTTAGGAGTGGGACAAAATATCCAAATCACAGTATTCTAGCCGAGATTTCATGTTTCTCATCACTGTGTGTAAATTGGTCGGTTACAGTGTTGAGATGGAGGTCCACCCCGTCGTTATGTCAAAGTATACACCAATTAAAGTCGTAATAACTATTGTAGTTTATATGGCAGTCTGATCAATGAGTTCTCTACCACCACATATGAGATACCTTGTTTTCTGCGCATGATATGTATAGCTCTTAAAGACCAACTTTCATTAAGCCTTGGTAACAATAATCAATAATCAATAAACTTTTAGATGACTGAGCTAACATGAGGTTGGTGTAAACCCTAATAGATCATGGTGGAATCGACGGTCGTTCAACACCTGTCCTGTGGAAGACACCACCTAGTGGAGTTTCGTTTTCGAGCGGTACTATCACTTCACTGGATTCTTCGACTCAATGCGACAACGACCGGCTGTGGACCATCGATTCGGATCCATCCACAAAACTTTGAGGAAGACGAGGGCTCCGAAACGTTAGCAGAACAACTCCCCTCCTACCCAATCTCATGTCAACTCAGTCATGTTGTGTAGATCTAAGTTTGAAAGAAAATTTTTCTTTCGAAGGTTGTTAAAAGCCAAGCCTAAATGACAATCCCACTCCAAGGCTACGAATTCTCCATCTATTTGGAGTCAGTGAATATGTCAGGGATTCGTATGCGGAATTTATGCACGGATCTATCAATCACTTTCGGGTAATTTCTAAAATAGACCACGAATCGATGAGATTGATCAGTGCTGATATCCTAGTATTCTTTCTGTTTTTTTCTAATGTGGTGAGAAATGATTGCGGCAATCCTTGAACCTGTAAGCTCTAATAATTCTGATGTGCTGTGGTACGAGAATATGTACGTTCGCCTCAAAAGGGTTACGAATTGTTATTGTTGTCGAGCTCGCGTTTATCACAGTTGTATTAAAATCTTTAGGCAAATTATATCCCATCCATTGTTTGTTTCATACCCCGCATAATCGCTTTCAGATAAATGGGAGTCGTTTCTTCATCCACGATTAGTTGTTCTTAAAGGAGAAAACAAGGGATCGGTTTTCCGAGCGAATCACGTCGACCTCTTTGGCTACTACGGTGAATATTTTCTATTTTCTTTTGCTCTATGATTGAGAAGGTTGATCCTCTTACAGCTGGTCGAAAAGTAGTTTCGGAAGGATGGTTACAATACGATGAAGAGAACCAGATTCTTCTTCGTCTTCACGGTTTCGCTCTGAAGTTCTATAAATCAGCAAAAGAACGAAAGAACTGTACAATAAAAATCAATCCCATGGATGTAAGACATCGTTTGGTATGTCTTTATCAGCTTTAACAGTCCGTTAATAACTTCACTGTTCTCTTTTCTTCCTCTTCTGTTTCCCGTTTTCCACCATTTAAGCTTATCTATAACTGTGAGAGTTTTTCTGTTTTTTTTTTGTTCATTTTAGTATGCACGAAACCTTTTTTTCGCATTCACATTGATTAGTGAGTTCTCAAGTATGTTGACCATATGAGCATAGTAGCGTTGATAGCATGGGTAGATTTTGGTGGACCGATAGATCTGATTTAATGACTTTGTACCCTTATAATCACAAAATCATGTTTAGAAGAGCGGAGCTCAGATCAGCTTCAGCTATGGTGTAGACGAAGAGGATGATGATGACGATAATGGATCACCTACGTATCCCAGTCATTCGCCCATTTCTGTGGCGGTATGCTTTTTATTGGGCTTAGGTATCTTGAAACAAGGAGAAAATTGAAGCCATTTTATTTCACTCCTTTATGCCTGGTCTTATGAGATAAAATACTTCACTCCATGACTTCGCCACTTTTTTTCCAAGATCTCATTAAGTGCATTTATCATCTTCTCTTCTTACAGGTACTCTCTGACAGAAATCCAAAGTTTACACGACAACCAGAAGTAGGGGTGCTGTTCAACAATAACGTAGACTACATTGTGTATAAAACACATTCAGTTGCTGTCGAATTCTTGGTGAGTTACTCAGCATCTACTTTCTTCTGTTTGCTTGGATACATGAGCAGTCCGTCTTTACTGTTTGTGCCGAACCCGGTCTAACTTCCACTTTTTTGGAGCTCTGCTCGTTTAGCCACTGTGGTTCCTTGCAGTCCCGAGGTCAACGTGGCCAAAATCTGCCCCAGGTCGTCACCACCACAGAGGCAGTCGTCGTCTGTGTGGACCAAAGGGAGATTTGCCACCTTGCAACTAGTTTCATGCTAGGACGGTGGTGGATCCTCGTATTTGTTTACTCTTAGCTCGGCTTCCTGATGGAAACGCAGGACTTCTTCTTAGCTTGGGAGACCCTGCTGCGGAGATGAATCACACCGCAGCCCGACACCCAGGAACACCTCCCACCCAGGATGAGGCAGTGAACCGTTCGAAGTGCTTTCTTCTGTTTAGTTCTTTAGTATGAAGGTGATTCTTATTACTGTTTTACAGGCATTCTACATTGAGATATTTTCGGAAGAAGGAAAACGAATTGGTGCATGCTATGCCCTTCCATCATCCCTTTCAGATTCATGTGGTCATTCGAACTTACCATTCATTAATTCATCAGGAAGACCAATTGGACAAATTTCTGGTTAGCAGTTTCTCATTCTTGAAATTTTTCCATAAGTTACAAAAACCAATCTGAACTAATATCTACTGGCATCCCTCTACCTTTTTATTTCAGTAGAATATCTTTTTGTACGTAATTTGCGTCGATTCATCCCAAAACAAACGATGGAAGTGTCATATACAAGGCACTGGAAGAAAAGAAATACGATCGAAGTTGGTCACCGTGGTGCAGGAAATTCCTTCACAAAGTTTGTTACAATGTTTATGAGAAAGACAAGTTTCGATTCTATACTGCGCTACTTTTAGGTTTGCTGTTGCTCGTGAGAATACGATATATTCGCTTAATACTGCAGCGAAAAATGGAGCTGACTATGTGGAATTTGACGTTCAACTTACGAAGGATAAGGTGACCTCTTGTTAACCGTACAGATTTCGCCTTTTTTGTATGGACATTACTTATTTTATTTACTTGGATACTCAAATATCCCGTGCTAACTGATTGTGCGGGCCCCAGCAAAGTTTCCATTTTTTTTTTGGAGTTTTCCTGGTTTAGCCACTGTGGTTCCCTGGCGTCCTAAGGTCAGCCTAGCCAGTGTCTGCCCAGGGTCGTCTCCACCACAGCCAATCGGCGCCCTTGATCAGAGGGAGATTTGCCATGATGCGACTGGTTTGATATCAAAACGGTGGTGGATATTGGTATTGGTTTACTCTTAGGTGGGCTTCTTGGTGGAAGCGACCTACTCCTTCTCAGCTTTGGAGGTTCCGTCGGGTGATGAATCCTCGGCTGTACATCGCAGCCCGACACCTAGGAACAACTCTCAGTCACAATGAGGTGGTAAACTTTTAGGAGGTAAAGCTAAAATGGATAAAGCTCTCGGCGTTGGTCAATCTCTGAGAGATGTGCCATGAATTCGCCTATAATAAACATCGTTGGAGGTAATTGAATGCATATCTTGCTTTTAAAATGACTCGCGATGGCCTACCGACTTCAAGTCTGGTATCAATTTGGCGACCCAAGAGGGACGGAGGGCTTGGTGAACCTTTGACAAGGGATTCAATCCTATGTGTATTGCAGGGTGCCCCCGACCACTGCGCTACGCGCGTTGGGAGGTACTTAATATTATTTGATACGTGTATGTACATATACATGTATATGTATAAAAAGTTTTAGAATCTTATGTCGTTGCAGGTGGCAGTGATTTATCACGATTTCCACGTGCTAGTTTCTGTTGCAAAGCGTCATTCATCCGGAAATTTTTCGGAAGTGTTGCGACCTTCGAATTTGCACAATGAGAAAAATGTGGACTTCCATGAAATCCCTGTAAAAGACCTTAAACTTCACCAGCTAAAACTTCTGATGGTGAGTTTATTCGTTATGGAAAGCGTTTCGGAATCCATAGCTACCATTCGTTCCTTGACAAATGGTAGCATGTGGTTAGATAAGGAGCATAACATTTACGATCTCATTGTTTCTTTTCGTGCTTAGTTAACAGCATTTTCATCCATTGTCTTTTATTTTCTTCAATGAAGGGAACAGTTTTTTTCTTTTTCTTTGCAGTGATATTTCGTCTGTTTCAGTTAGATAACGTGAATTTCCTGAAAAAGAAGGAAAATGTGAAGAAGCTTGTGGAAGATGATGATGAGACGGAAGATTTCAAACCATTTCCTACATTAGTTGAAGCACTGGCGAAGGTCGATCCAGATGTTGGATTCAACGTCGAAGTGAAATATCCCATGATGCAATCCGTACGTGTTATTGTGAAATCCACTAAACAAAATTTCGTTACATGAGAGGAACTGGGATAACTCTCCGCTTTATAGACGATAATGAATTGAGGTTCTGTGTTCAGAATGGGGAACATGAGTGTGACCATTATTTTGAACGGAATGAGTTTATTGACGTTGTCTTGGCGGACCTTCTCAATAACGCGGGTACCCGTCGGATTATGTTCTCTAGCTTTGATCCAGATATCTGCAGTTTGTGAGTATTTTGTCAACTTTTCGAGCTTTTCTTTTTCAAGAAATATATTGAGTAAGTCCTTTCAAAAAAGAAATATAAATAAAACCGCTGAATGCTAAACAAGAACTGTAAGTTGGTAGGTAGAAGATAAGGACAATAGAGCCTTGTTCTGTTTTTTAATTGACGGTCTGTGAGTGATGAACAAAGTAAATTTTATAGAATATCTATGAAACAGAATAAGTATCCTGTGCTGTTTCTTTGTGTTGGAGAGACACAGCGCTACACACGTTTCCAGGATCAACGCAGTAGTACAAGTTTAACAGCTGTAAACTTTGCTGCAGGAGCTGATATAATGGTATGTGTTAGATCTTTATCGTCGAATGAGGTTTTATTATGATTTCCAGGATGTCGAATAGTGCTGTGTATTTTCATAGATTTATTACCTAGAAGGGTCATCAGGGTATCATGGCTTACATGGTGTTCCCTCTCTCCGTACGGAATCCAGCTATTAGTAAACCATGTCTAACACCACACCTTTCTTGGAAGAAACCTAAACGCAGGATGGCGAGCGTTAATCCGATAAAAGTGGGTAGGAATCGTTCGTGGAGACAATAAACTCTGGCTAGGAGTTTTCTGATTAAAATAGAAAAGATCTGTCAAACGGCAAACTAATAAGCGTGAAGAAATTATACTTTTAACCGCACGATTATTCACGGAGGTATACCATGTAAACCAACTTGGTAAATCACAGGGTGTTCTTTTCTCGATGTGTTGACTTGATTAAGTTTTTTGAGATAAGTAACTAATTATACACCTGGGTGACCCGTCTTCATGATCTTATGATTTCCACAGGATTTTCCTTTTGATCGATATTTTGCTGGTTAGGCAATTTTTCCTGAAGGCCAAAATCGCCGCACCAAGGCCTTCATGTCGCCATCATAACTAATTGCCGACTATTGTGGATCTGAAGGGCGTTTGCAGCTTGCTTTAGTGCTTGCTTTAATATAGTACATCTAACTTCCGTAGAACTGTCTTCCTCGATTGTCTCCTCACTTACGTCGGTCTTGCGTACTCCACAAAATCCTCTAGGTAAAAAATAAAACGTGAATGGGGATATGTTATTTTCCTAATGATTTTATATTGGCACTTTTAGGGTGTCAATTTCAACTCGGAAGATCTCTTGAATGACCCTTATCCAGTAAAACGGGCAAACGACTTTGGTCTGATCACTTTTGTTTGGGGAGAAGATTTGGATAAGAAGGAGAACATTAATTACTTTAAGAAGGAACTTGGCGTTGACGGTCTCATTTATGACAGGTGTGTTGAGATTTCGAAATTTCTTTCCAGCCGATGCGGAGCATTGTTCTTGAAAAGTTTTTTAATTTCAGAATCGGTGAGGATGAGCGTCGCAGAAATGTGTTTATAGTAGAGCGCGAGGTTAAGCGTGCGTTATTCAAAATAGAATCAGGAGCTAACTCGCCACAGAGGTATTGTTTTCGATTTGCTGGCCATCGTCTTAATAATCATCTTGTTACCACTACTCGAACGTGATAAATCTTCAGAGCAGTATCACCTCTTGGATCAGTCAGCTCAGCCTCATCTCTGGATGGTGCGCTTCTTTTACACGAAGAAACTCTGAAAACATGTGTGACACCTAATGATGTATCAGTAGTCGATTTAAACGGTGACGTGGATATAAATCTTCTAAACGTCGCGTCTACTGTGCATTTTAACCGCTGATGGCTTTTGTCATTTCTTTCATACCGTTTCCCGGATTATGCATGTACCCGACGTGTATTTGCCTTCTGCTATCACTATCAGATTCGGATTTAAATCCATATCGTCAAAATCAGTCCATAACTTCCTCCATTCCATTTTATTAGCATCTGATTGAGCGTGTATGAAGCGTTCTAAACAGTAGTAGTGGATGTACAAGTAGCGTTATGATCGTCATCTTTCTTAATGTCTCAAGATACCTCTGGCGTCTGTCTCACATTGTCTCACAACATTTTAGCTCTAAATATGAACCAAAAATCAACCTACTTGTGATTACCGTCATAATTTCATTCGTGAGACGCCGCTTCCCCACCCTATCCCTGTTTCTTTTTTAAGTTATTTATTATTGGCTCTTGTTGGTTTTCGTTAGAGGCGTTCTTCAGCACTCATTATATGTCTTTTTACTCTTTCTTTTTTTCTTTTTTTCTGAAGAATAACGAGCTTAAACAGTTTGCTTTACTGTGAGGCACTGTTTTTTTATTTTTTCTTCATCTTCAGAGTACTGTCTATTGTACGGAGGATTCCAGTTTTTCCCTACTGCTACCGTTATATCCAAGTAATTGTATGAGCCAAGAAAATCTATTATGACGATTGGGATATCAATATATTCCGAGTATTTTTATAAAAAGAAACTTTATATGTATCGTTTGTGCTCTGATTTCTTCACGTGCTAGTAATTGCTCACGTGTAACTCCCCTTTCCTTTTATACAGTAGCCACTATTATTGTAATATTTTTTACCCGCTAGCATATGTTCGAGTATTTTACTTTCGAAAGTATTTGAACGCCCGTTGTCCTCTAACTCTAACGCTACGGCGTGACCTCAGTAGGATTCTTACGATGCAAGAGAATAATGGCAAGACCATTAAGCCCACCCACATTCCCTCTTATAGTGAGTTCTACTGATTGCGATTAAAGCTACTGGAATTTACAAATCCTTGCCTAGAAGATAAAAAGTTTTCTTCTTCAATAGTCAGTAAAGTTCCGATTTTTCGGAACTGGTGACACGGGATTCTTCCAGAACACTCTTTGAAAGCACTTAGTTTGAACACGAAAGCAATTGAATGAGAAAGAATCCGTGTTCGTTAGTGCATCGCCTATGTGTTTAGCTGGCGTTCTTTCGTCAAAAATTTGAAATAATAAAGTTCGTTACCAGTTTCTCGAAGGTTTTGATTCTAAACACATTTGAATTTGAGAGGGTGCTGTATAGGATTTATAGTCGCATTCTGAACCCTTGAAATGCTGTAGTGTTCGAGAAGTGATTGTCAGTTACTGAGTAACAAGCAACGTTGCGCGAAGGGGTTAAGTGATTGCTGCATTGCAGTGGTAAGCAGCCATGCTTCTGCGTATTAGCAGTGTTTACGAGATCAGCAATAGTGCAATAATGAGAAGCTATGTTGGGTAAATTGCGTGCCTTGCTCCCGTTCTTGAATAATGTGAGGCTTGAGCTGCTCTTCTCTGGACGTGAGCAGAACGCTACGGTGGTATCCCGCGGTTCCCGACAGGTGTCGTAGGGTGCCACATTGCGTAACACCATCACTGACGCCGAATATGCTCTTATTATGTGAATTTTCTTCCAGGCATTTGTTGTATAAGGACATCTGAGAACGAGTGTGTTTATTTTCTATGTGCACGACAAAGATACGGCTAGAGAATGTACTACCGAGGCCAACACTACTCTGAGTAATGGGACATTCAAGTATTTCCTACATACCTTGACATTTGACTTGACACTTGAATGGTCCGTCCTCACTGGTTGTGCGGGCCCAGCATAATCTCCATTTTTCGGAGATTTGCTAGTTAAGGCATTGTGGATCTCTGGAATCCCGAGGTCAGCCTGGCCAAAGTCTGCCCGAGGTCTTCACCACGATAACCAGTCGCAGTCTTTGTGGATCAGGAGAGATTTACTACCATGCGACTTTGATGCCAGGACGGTGGCCGATCCTGGTATTGGTTTACTCTTAGCTAGGCTTCCTGATGGAAACGCCGGACTCCTTCTTAGCTTGGGAGATCCTGCCAGGGGATGAGTCCTTCGCTGTATATCGCAGTGCGACACCCAAGAACACCTCCCAGCCACGATGTGGCGGTAAACCGTTGGGAAGTTTCCTACATATCAGAGTTCTTTAGTAGGTATGGCTATGTGGAAGCAATTGGGGATTGAATTACGTTCTTTATAGGGAGTTTTGGAGCAGCTGTTTATAAGTTGGTGAGTGCTTTTTGGCACAAATCATCCCATACGTTTCACGTATACTGCTCTTTGTTTATGAGAGCTTCCTGTCACCACATAGGCAAATGGATACTACATAGTTCTCTCGTCTAAGGAGATTTCTGGGAAGAGTAGGAGAAGGCTAAACTGCTTTTATGTTTTCGTTGGTATTATGAAACGTTTTCCACCGTATCACTTCTTCGATAAATGCAATACTTAAGCTGTTCAGAACAGTATTGACTTATGGGCAATAGGTCACTGTGCTGATCTGAAAGTCGATGTGATTTTTCCAAAACGTTAATTCAAGTTCAAGTACTCGAAATTCAGATTCTCTAGGTGTTGGAAGCGAATTTGAAATCCTTAGTTTTTCTAACCGATGGGTAATAAGCGCAGACACCAGTGTATAGTAATGAGTGACACCACCTTGTCCTGATGGATGAGGTACAGTATACGTTTCGTCATTCAAAGTCCAAGTCTGGATAGAAAAGAAGCGGCTCCGAGGAATGAAAATTTCGTCTTGCAGAACAACTAATCTTATACTTTCTAGGCAAAAATTTGTAGATTGTAATGCTTTCCATGACATTTAATAGATTCTATTACGAGTTGAGATACGTCTGCTTGAAACTGATTTGTGAAATTGTTCTTTCTGGGGACATGTGCATTGGAATAAATGCATGAGTTGGTGAATCTATTGAGTGCACCTGACTGTCGATAGTTCTGTTATGGAAAGTTCGTGAAGGATGTTGAGAGCGACATGATCCTTGAAAACTGTTTAATTAGAAAGAATCCATCATTTACGAAGTGAACGACGCCACTCTAATTACTATAGAAACATTCGATGTGGTTTGCCAATTGGCACCTTTCCAAATATGCTCCTATGCACCCATACGATAGTGTGAATACTGTATTAATAACCCAGTGACCGTAAAACAGCGGCATTATAGAGAGCATATGTCGGGTGAGCCATCGAGATAGAGTATATGTAATTGAGGACGAGAATCATATACATCCATATTGTTCCTAATAAACCGAAAATAACTACATAGTTCTCTACAACAACGAAGTACCATACGGTAGATCCTTCTTCACATAAAGAAAGAACCAAAGGCTTTCCAGGTGGAGTGGAATCAGTATGCATGAGTGTGTTTAGGATGCGAATTTGCATTACTGAACTGAAAACGAGAAAGTAGATGAGATTGTTTAGTGCCAATAAGCCTATAACATGAGAGTATTCGCTGACTATGATTATGAGAGATGCGAAACATGATACCAGTCAATCATGCATTACTTTGAAGTAGTTATAATATTGTCGAAGAGATCGTGCAGTGCTGATTCTTAGCTTTCTAAATATCTATGGTGGGATGTTTTAAGATGAAAATAGCAATGGAACTATAGAAGTTGTAACGTTGACATCTTAAAAGATAATTGTATGATGAAAATACGATTCTTGTGAGGACTGTGGTACTCTTTACCTTTTTTAAATGTGGATTTTAGCGACCTTAAGCATCCTTATTGGTATTCAGGGCTGAATAGTGTCGTGGGTCTTCGTTATACTACGCAAATGCGTTCCTTTACACATTCATTGCGACGAAGCGATGACGTTTATAGAATTCCGGGATCCAATCCTTTCCTATAAAATCTATGAGATCAAACAAATTGCGAGCGATTCCATTTGATTCGGCTTCATCTTCCAACTGCTGAAGCACCTGTCCAGAAAAACATAATTTTTACTGGAAAGACAGAAATAACCAGCGTATGTTGACGTATGTATCGCTGTTCAGGTCCATTCTGGCTATGTGTTGCTGCGTCACGTCATCTCCCACTTCAGTGGATTTCTGAGCCAATCCATTCGTGTCGTGCTCTCCCAGCGCATGCTTCCGGCCAGCCGTCTGATGAGCGTGTTGTGTGCGTTCTGATTGTTTCCCAATCAGTCTGCGTAACCTGCCATTATCTTGTCATAATTAGGAGTCATCCGTACATAACCAACATATGTACGACGAAAGTGCTAATCAACGTCTGTATCAACAGTACATTGTGAATAGATTAGGTATTTTCGGGCTTAGGACAATCCTTGTCGGTCATTGAACCTCACCATAGCCTCTAACACGACGTTGAACTCACTCTTCCGCTCCTTCAGTACACCATCGTCTTGAAGATTTATGATGTTAAAGTCTGAAAACATGACAGAACTTGTTCTGTTATATTACTGTATTTTGTTCTATCATATCTATTAATACATTACTTCCTGCCTTTAATACTTCGTATTCTAGACCATTTCTTTTTTTTTAAACTCGAATAGTCCTTGTAGTAAGTGGAAGAGCAAGCTGGAAGAGCATGGGAAACCTTTTCAACAATGGATTGATTACTTTGTTTTTCATGAATTATCTCACATCTGAATTTTATGTTTTGCAAGCGGTATACAAGGAAAGACCAAAAATTCAGCCACTCGTGAAAAAAGTGCTCTATTGATGTTTCTTAATAAACGTTATTCTAGAGAACCCATTTACACCTCTAGATATCATGAATAATGATGGATAGATAAATAGTAGGTACCTGCATAATGCTTAAATCATCCACTGTCATAAATTGTTCGGCTCAGAAAAGTTCAAACTGAGTCGGAATTTCGCTGTTTGACGAAGTGTGGGAAAATTCTTTCGTGCCTTTCCTAACCAACTAGCGATTGATGCGGATCGCAGTAAGGATTTCTACCATGTAATTAGATTTTTTCCAGGATGGTGACGATCCTGCACAAAGTTTTCTGTTTAGTTGCTCGTTTGAATGGAAATATCAAATTGTTCAATTCCACTAATATAATCATGATTTTGTCGAGGGATAAAATCCGGCTTTCAATCGCATTTAAGCACTCGTCATCGCTAGTGGGCTACAGCGACGTCATAGATCATTGAAGAAATTTATCTAATGAGGGTTCTAAATATTAGATCGCTATTATTACATTTAAGCTATTACAAGACAAATAGAGTTGTATCATAGACTTTAGTATGAGGGAGGTGAACTTTTTTCCGACGAGTTCAATCTTCTTTTATACACATGCAATTCGCATGATATATAATCCCGTTGGGAATCATACACATAACGATATTCCGATGATCACCTAATTCTATATTAATAAGCAACTACGAGGCTCAATTGAATGAGGCATATTGCAACACGAATTAGCGCATATGTCTGAACAGCTCGGCCACTGACAAGCTCCTATAGGGTCAGGATAAGTGATAATTATCAATTATTGTGGGATATACGGACTGAAGACTAAGAAGCAGAATCAGAAGTACGAACAGCTCGGTCACTGATAATCTCCTGTAGAGTCAGGATGAATGATAATGATCAATTATTACGCGTTATAGGAACAGCAGAAACAGATGTAGCAGGTGCAAGAGAAGAAGAAGTGGCGAATGACCACATTGATGAGGAAAGATCCCCTAATGTCAGAATACACAATAAACTTGTAAGAGAAAAGTCTTAAAATAATTAGGAACAGGCTGTGAATGAAAAGGAAGAACATCTTCGTCTTTATAATGGTTATTAGGAACAGTTCTTCTTTTTTGTTATGTTATTTAGGTATAAAAAGGATAAAGCTCTTGGTGTTGATCAATCCCTGAGGAATGCGCCATACATTCGACTTCACTAAGGAAGTCAGCGAATGCATATCTGGCCGTTACAACCACTTGTGGTGCCCTACCGATGTATCGAGCCAGTGCTGCTATCCTCCCAGACAACTCTGGCACCAATTCGTGGACCCGGTGGTTTGGATGGCCTGGTGAGCCATGGGCGCAAGGACCGATTCCACGTGTGTGTTGCAGCGCGCCTCCGACCACTGCGTCACACGCGCCTCTGTTTAGGTATCACCTGTATCACCTGTAGTCTCGTGGATTGTCGACTGACTCGAGCGTACAGCAGTACATCTTCTAATTTCCCTGTCGCGTGCAAGAGTAGCCCAGTGGACTCCGCTCGCTCTAGCGACTCGTCTAACATCATATCCTTCTTCAAGGCTTCTTACGAAGAGCTCTAGAACTCTGACCATCGGGTCGGTGGTCTTCCTGCAGTACGTTTGACATCCCGAGCAATCCACTCACTAACGGCTCTTGTCCATCGGTTATCATTCATACGCATTACGTGTCCGGCCTACCTTATCCTCGACTGCTTAGCGCACAAAACGACATTGTTGATTTGTTAACGTTGAAACAGCTCTGAGGTTCGGATCCCGTCCCTTACTTGTGTAGAATGGGATACTCCTAGCATGGTCCTTTCGACTGCACGTTCGATAACGCTGAGTGACCTTTCATCCTGCTTACGTAGCGACCAGGTTTCTGACGCATACGTTAGGGCAGGAAGTACCGCTGAGTCGAAAAGGTGGGCACGGATTCGGGTGTTCTTTGTTTTCTTCACTCCATCCTCGATGCTCTTGAAAGCTTCCCAAGCCGCCCACTTTCTTCTGCTCAGCTCTGGAGCTAGGTCGTTCATCATATTGATTTTCCGACCTAGATAGGTATAACTGGAGCATTCGGAGATATTCGTTCCGTTGTGCGTGAATGGGGCATGCGAAACCAATCCGTTCTTCATGAACATGGTTTTTGTGAGAGTTAGTCGAACACCTATCTTTCCGCAGGCTTTATCAAAGTGGGCAAGCATACGTTTCGCTTGGCTAATGTTTGGTGTTATAAGGACGATGTCATCAACAAAACGAAGATGGTGTAGCTGCCGGCTATCGATTTTATTTTTATTTATTTTAGTTATTTAGGTATATGACATGGGAAATTTTATTTTAGTTATTTAGGTATATGGCATGGAATTCTAGCACAATGCTGAGATATTTGCAAAACTCCGGACCGCAGATGTCTGCGGTGGGGAACGAACGCGCTATTATCCTTTCCGGGGAGTAACGCGTTCACCACCGCACCATGCCGGTCCTTCGTTTCTAAAATTAAAATCTAACGCAATGTTCAATTTTAGCACACGTACAGAGATTTTTCCATAACCAGCTCTGAAAACTCGAAAAGCATACGAGAAGCTTTATCTTATCGCTTTAAATAATATATATCCATTCCAAATCACAACTTTTGTTCTGATGTTTTCCATACAAGCATAGCAGCGGCTGTTGTCACCGACGTAATTATCACAGCATCTTGCCCTGCTCGGTCAGAATCCTGCTTTTTCAGCCTCGTTGCTTAAAATACGAATCTGGATAAGAATAATACTCAAAAAAGCCTGCTGTTGATTATAGAAAATTAGAAACTAAGCATGGGAGAGTTTGACTTTCGTCTATAGTCGCTCTTACCTCAATCAGCGATGTCCATTATGAGTTTAGATATGCTTATTTGTAGATAAACGGTTAATATTTGTTTCGCGGTCGCGTATGCATTGGATTCGATACACGGTGCAGCTGGTGCTCTTCTTTATTCAATAATGACATTTTATGAGTGAATTTGTAACACAGTGGTATTAATTACGTGAGAGGGTCAATAATGTAAAATTCCTGCATAATTATGTACCCTGCCTTTCTGCAGGGTGGCAAAAAGACATTTTTTACGATATGCGGATTTACCCGTAAGCGATTTCACTACAGTGATATTACTGCGTATGTCTAGTATTATTCCCTTAAACATACGGCAAAAGCAATCGATATTTTTATCCCTTGTTCTTTCATGGAATTCCATTTTGTTCTAAATTCGTTGTCTCTGCTGTTCGTCGAGTATTATCGTAGTCTTCATAACGAATTCTTCTTCAAACCACTCTTCCACTTCCAATAATTAAGGCGTCGTCGGTTGGTTAATGATGGCTGCAGTTGTAAATCATACGCTGAATGACCAATCCGAGGCTGACGTATATTACAGTGCGGGAACGAGCCTGCACCACCACCTCTTTTGACCTCAGTGAACGACATCCATCCATTCCCATTCCCAAAACTGACTCCTCGCACTATGGATGTTGAACGAGTGCACCGAAAATTAATGGATACCAGAGAGAAACTAGCAAGAAAATTCTGTGATCAATAAGGTATCGTTTTCTAAGAAGAAATTTTCCGACATCCAGTTCTTCCCTAGGTGTTTAACCAGAGAAGAAAGCAGGCATTTTTCATCTATCACGTCAAACTCTGGAAACATGAAGGTTCTATTGTCGAAATCTCATTCATGCAATGCGTGTAGTTAGATCCAATCTGAAAATGTGCTCATCCGGCTGAATCCATAGTCTTAAGGCGTCCATACTACATTCAGTGTTCGGAGAAGATAGTGATAACACTCCAACTGAAACTTGAATTCTACAAATCTATGAGCTGAGGTTTTTGAGACGTACCACATCCACATGATGTTAGCTCACACATTTGGTGTTCATTGATCACTAAATATTTTAGTGGTAGGGTGCGGGTGTGTTTAGCATTGAAAAGTGAATTTATGAAGGTGTGCAATGTTTACCGTGCAAAAGCATCGTGAGAAAATGATCAGTGCAAGAATACCCATGACCGACTTTCTTTTAACCTCGGCATTGATTGATAATTCAATGTTTTTCATCAATAAGCAGACAACGAGGTTGTTAATATAGAATTTATTAGAACACAATTGCTGACGTTTCGGCGGTTTCGCCTTCTTCAGAGCCTGGAAAGGTCGAGCTGAGATGCGATCTACTCAGCCAAACACTTTCATAACCACAGCAGAAAAGACTTAACAAATAAATTTGGATTCGCGTAAGAAACAGCTTCATTTAAGTGCAAGAATAGTTCGACCTTCACACTTCACGAACACTTTTTTGTGTCTATTGTTTGACGTTCTCAATGTCTCCTTTCGGAATCGAGGACGGTTCCGTTCAGCGTCTTATATTCCTTGCCGGCTATCATAACTCTCCATTATTAATGTGGTAATATCGGTACCATACTCTTTGTGTTGCCGCTGTCTATTGGCCTCGGCAAAGAGCAGTCGTCCTGAATTATCCGTCGGGAAGTGAACACGGACCGATTGGAGACGAACGCAATGATATCCATGAATTATTAAGGCAATATGGTTGGTTGATCTTTTCGACCAAAGATCACAGTAACCATAGCGCTCGTCTTATAAAACACGAGCGAAATTGATTTGGGCACTGCTGCTCTCGGCTAGTAATGACGTTATTATTGGAAGATAAGTGCTGGTCATCCTAACTAAGGTAATTCGTATGTTGCTCAATCTTTAGCCCTTTGCTTTATTCCTTATCTATGTACCACTCTCCAGTGCTTATAATACTGCTAGGTTTTGCAAGGAGCTCTTATAAGGATGTTTGAACAAAAGCTCGTTAAGGAATACAATAAAGCAACGTTAAACTTTTTTCTCGTTTATTCCAAATTAATGCCTAGTCCTTCTTATGATAATAAGGCATTCTTGCAGTTCCTTGCTGTAGGGAGCGCCTTGTGCAATACCATTTGTATACCCGGAAGATCCAGTGGCTCCGTGGAACGCGTGGACCCAGATGTGGACTTGGCCTTTACGATTCAATTGCGCTCATAATGACAATGTTGTCAATCAATTCGTATAGAAACTAGGAGGCTCATCTTTCCATAGAACTCTCGGAATACAAGGTTTCTTTCGCGGATTTCATATGAAGTGTTTATTTCCCCCAAGCCCTGTGAAAAAAAATAGTAGACAAGATTGGGATTAAACCACTGCAAAATCGGAATAATGGAGCTGTTCTTGAAATACAGTGACGGTCAATTAGGCAAAACTACACCATTGTTAGAATTAAGAAAGGATGCTTTCTAATAGAATCTTCATCTAGCTTCATTCACTCATACACATTCTGTATCTGGTGGTAGAAAGATGAACGAGATTATTACACATCTATGAATATCCATCTATCAATCGCATAACCTCTCAGCTACACAACAGGGAAATCCTGCACAACAATGTCTCACCTGCTGTTCGTGCTGAGCTTTACAACAAATGAGCTCGACCGCGAACGAACAACGATAATCTGTAAGGCGGTGACATTGTCTAAAGCAGCTCCATTTAAAATATTGCTCGCACCTTCGGACGAGTTCTCCAACTTCTCCTAAGTTATGTGGACACAGTTATGCCGCCTTCCGAAGTGCATAATCTCAAGAATTAGAAGCCCTGTAGTACAACCTTTAAAAAGTTACTGCGACAACGAAATGCGATAGATTCGAAGTAAACTGCTACAATAGGCAATCACAATACCATATTGGAGTGAAATTACAGAAATTCTTTCAAAAAATCTTTGTTGAGACGAATCACGATTAATCTGAACCAAAAGAATGTCGATTCAAGGCATATTCATCTGACGTTCAGAATTGGATTCCAGTTATAATAAACACCGTAGATAGAAACGGTTTTGAACTCTCCTCTCACGTAGGAAGCTTTCTTAATCTAACGCTCCTTGTCATGCCACCGAACGATGACCCACTTATATTTCCGATGAAGATCCATTAAAGGGTTTCTTGTCAATGTTACAGTAGAAAAGATGTGATTGTTTCAAATATGTTAGCACGATTCTCATTCACTGGTGCGATAGAACTTGCTTGTTTTTCCAAGAAAGTGCTGAGGTTTAGCTCAGAGCCAAGGTTCAATAGCTGAAATAGGCTGAGATGGAGTTTGGCTTTCAGATAAAAAATGCCGAAGCTAACAAACAAATTTTTCTTTTTTCTGTGAAGGCATTGTTTTATATCCGACCGCATTACTACTGACTAGTGACCAACGGATGATAGAACCACTGGCGAACACATTTATTGCATGAAAGATTTACGACGTTGATAGGACTCGCCTGTGTCTTTCTAAATTGCCAATAAACGTAGACTTTGGTTAACGCTTAGCTTATCGCAAAGTGGCCCAACTTATTCAGCTATACAAATCAGACGCTTTTCAAAGCTTTATTAGCTGTTGAGAAATCCCTTGTGCTTATCAAGGTGAAAGATTCTACCTTTGCCATCCTTCAACTGGGCAAATCTTTCTCCGTACCACTTAAATAACCAAATTGCATGTGTCGTTTTCTTGTTCAGCAATCGCGAGGTTTTTAAACAGCATACATTTACTTCCATAAAAAACACAATACAATACAACGCTAGCTGACGTTTCGGCAGTATCGCCTTCTTCAGAGCCGCTTTTTCGTGACTTCCAATGAGGAAGTTTAGAACAGCTGATTATAGTCGCATGTGGTTGACGACTTGTATTGTACTGTGTTTTTTATGGAAGTAAATGTATGCTGTTTAAAAAACTCGCGATTGCTGAACAAGAAAACGACGCATTCATATTCCAATGCCGAGGTTAAGAGAAAGTCGATCCTGGGAACTAACCAAATTGCTTTCAGCACGCCGATTAGGAATGATGAATACACTGACGTTGCCGTAGAATATGAAACCTGAGACGAATTTAGGGTTTTCTTCACCAAAAAGGTTCAGCCGGTGCCCTTGCGATCTAATTAGGGGGCGGGATGTCGTATTGTAGAGGCCAGGGTAGGCGCCATCACTTCATCGCACCAAGCAGTAGCCTCCAGACTTTCAGTCCCTATTCATTTCCTAGAATTTTGCCCTAATTTATCCTGTATTTTGCTAGACGTTGAAAAAGGTCTTTGGAGCACAAGTTACTGCTAGGATCGAGATCCACTTTGTGGAATCACGCAACCTCGTAGAGTTCAAGAGCTAAAGGCGTCATCTGAACTGATGCAGCATGATGAACAGACAGAATTTAGGACCTAAACTCTACTACTTTTTTTTCTTTACTATACTTTAAAAAATTTGGTTCTTGTTATTTTTCTCGTTTTGAAATCTTCAAACACCAAATTGTTTTTAACATCCGTTCCTACTGTCCAATGAGCTCAGTATTTATTACCGTTTTAAGAGCAGTGGACTAGGAAGAATGCAACCTGTTCCCTACCCAATCTGGTGGGCCGTCCTTCTATCTGCTACACTTCCATTAGACCAGTTAATGGAATAAGCGCAGTTTAATGGAAGTAAAAAAAATCGACCATTTTTGACTCTGTCTTGATGTCTGCAGTAGAGTTCACGCAGTTCTCGAACGTCACTATCTTGGTGACTACAACGACGTGTTTCCTGGGATAATCCTCTCATCGCGCAAGATTATTAGATTACGACCTCTGTCATTCTGATCTGAGACTACTTTAGTATTACATTTATGACGTATTTGTAGTTATCTATGTCTAGAAGGAAATAGTGAAACAATGTTGAACTGAATTTGCCGTATTGTTCATTCACTTTCTCTTAAAGATCCTTTCCTCCCTGCTATTCAGCCGTTACGCTGTTCGAACCCTTCAAATTAATCCATTGAATAATTTGTACTGTTTTTTTTAAAATTCAGATGAATAGCGTTCTCTGTGCTATTCCGTTCTTCATCGTTACGACATTTGCTCAAGTGCGGCTAAAGGACCTACCACTGCCACCAGATTACTGTAAGAATGGAGGTGTTCTGGTAAATGTGAGTGTTGTACTCATTTTCTACTGTAAAGATTCTAAAAGCGCTGGTGATTTATTTGCTTTCATTTCATTTTAAATGATCCATCTTCACATCTACTCTATGGATCTCAGCACTTCTCGCATTCGATTCGTTTCAACGCATTTGTCATCCATGAAGATCTTTGAATTCTTCCCATGGGGTTTGGCTGATGCTTGAGAATTGTCGTCTTCTTTATAGACGTCATTTAATGCTAATTGAATCGATTCTCCCTGGAGTTCTAGGATAGTCGGCATGGAGCGTTCGTACAAGAATTGCAGGAAGTGAACTGTTCCCAGGGCAGTCATGTACCAATTTCTCGATCCTGGAAGTATGGTAGGCTTGGCTGGCTCGAGGGGTCGAATCAGAACCATATTTGTGATCAACGAGACTACCAGTGCGCTACCTGCATCCTGCTTTAGGGGGTGAAAAATTTTACCTAGCCAAAATAAAATTACGGACAGCAGAACAGGTATTAGTCGTCATTGTAAAACCGCACCATAATGTTGTTTTTACGGAAGACAGTTTCGTAGGAAAGGATTACATCCTCCACTTTTGCACGTGCCTCGACTAGATCTTATCGCTTCCCATACGTTGTCTTGTTTCCACACAGCGTAATCTACGAAGAGTACAACTAAACACACAAGCGTACACAATGTCGGTTATTTGAGGACTAAATAGCTATGACGTGTTTCGGTCTCTGCGCATCTGGTGGAGAGCCTGGGATACGCCGGCAGAAAGAGGCCGGACCACCATTCGGTCAGTCACTGCTGTCGGTCGGACACCTGGCGAGCGAGATGGGTGTGGTATTGAGTGGTTGTAGCATTGGATTCAAAGAAATGAACATAAATGCGGATTAGCTTTTTTGATTGTTCGGATTAACCTGTACGCTAGCGGATTATCGCAGCGCTTGATCACAAGTGTAGTTGCCGCTCATTCAAGAAACACCCGGCAGATGATAGAGCGAGCGAACTCGAAGATATAACTGTCTAACGCATACAGCAGCACCTCGATCATATGATTATGAGATGGATAGTTAAATAACAATATCGATTTTCATCATAGTGGCTGATAATTTTGCTATTTTTTCTTTCTCAAGAGTGAATGCGTATGTACGCTTCGTTACGAAGGCAAGCAATGTGAACAAGAACGATGTTTGAACGGTGGTCGACGGCACGCTGTAAATGGAAAGGTAGTGTCGATTTTATCGATTCGTTCAGTAATTATATCGATTGTATTGAAAGGCACAACAATAGATTCAAATACAGACGGAACAGTTAGCTAAGGAATAAATGGTAGTAGTAAATATTTGCGCTTCTTTTCGTTAGCAATTATTTAGTATCGAAGACGACTCTACTGTACCTATTGTTGTTTCGAAAAAGTTCCACACATCTTTTGTTTCAAGAATTTTCTTGAAATCATCTAGCTAGTACCTTCAATATCAGCAAAAGCATAAATAAAGACTTTCTATAATCTTCGGCATAAATAACCGATATATACATATGTATAAACGATAAAGGATAAAGCTCTCGGCGTCGATCAATCCCTGAGGGATGCGCCGTGCATTCGGCTTCATTAAGTATGGTTGGAGGTGATTGAATGCACATCCGGCTTTTACAATGACTCGTGGCGACCAACCGATGTATCGAGCCAGTGCTGCTATCCTCCCAAACAGGTTTGCTACCAATATATCAACCCCGGAAGGATGGAAGTCTTGGTGGACCATGGGCGCGGGGATCGGTTTCACTCATGTGTTGCAAGGCGCCTCCGACCACTGCACCACACGCGCCCTTCAATTGCGGTAGCCATCGTAATACGAAGAATAAGAATGGGTAAACAAATTTTGGTACATGAAGACTCTGGAAATATGATTAATGTGTTTTCTGGTGTGCTGTTTTTTTAAACAGAAGGGACTCCTTCGTAATTGTTTTTCAAGGTTTAACTAGGTTTTATTTTCGAAATTTAAAATAAAAAACCAATAAGATCTACAAATTTTGGTGATTGCCCTTGTAGACCACTTGGAATACCCTAGCTTCTCGACATCCGAAGTCCATGAAGAAAAATAGTTTTGCTAGCTAGTAAAAACCAGTGAAATGAAAATTGCGTTGAATGCCCAAACCATTCTCGACGAAGAGCACAACCATCCACGTACATCTTCTGATTGAGCGTTAGGCAATCAATGCCGTATCGTCCGACTGCACACATTCTACCGTAATCCTCTGTTTCCTCTAATTTCTGGTAATCAACATTTTTTCGGGTACCTGGTCATAAGGAAGTGGAGGGAGCATCCACCTGAAATAGAAGAAAATACTGAGCAGGTTCAGAATAGTTGTTATTCACTTGTGTGACTTCGTTTAGTCGTTTAGGTTCGATGTCATTGTCCGTTTGGTCTGACTGGAGAACGCTGTGAAAAGGTCACATATTGTGAACCCGATAAAGGTTAATTAATAATAATTACTCATGCGTTGTTGACATTCGTTGTGTAACTACGGTAGTTACGGTAGTTAAGCTTTATTCAGAGGGGTTTTATTACTTAAGACATTTTCTTATAGGTAAATTGGTGAACGGCAAATGTGAATGTAACGCTAAATGGACTGGACTATTCTGTCAAATGCGTACATGTTACAACGGAATTCCTACCAGTGGAATGGTACCATTTAATATTTTATCACTATGCGTAGTGGTAAAATCCTCCTAACTGTAGATATTCGTTGGCAATGGTTCAAAAAAACCTGTTCAGGATGGTTTCTGCCTTTGTGACATCGGTTTCACCGGCCCGTTTTGTGACGTTCCACTGATCTGCGAAAATGGTGGCAAAGTTACCCAGGTATTCTGTGTCGGATTTTAGCGGATGTTTTCAAGAAGTAAATAGTTTTCCCAGTTAAAGCATATGCATTCTGTCGTCACAGTTAATAGGTGATTGATGAGGAGCTTACACGATTATAATTTTACAGCGAATCCCAGTGTCCAATATGCTTCGGCAGGTAATATCTGAAACTGATGCTTGGCTCTGTTTGCAAAGCTAACTCATCCAAGACAATATCACTTTAACTTTGTAGAATCAATCGACAGGTAGAAAATGGAATAGCAGTCAAGCTTAATGACCCTGTTATATACCTGAGAACGCACGCACAATATCATGTGGCCGACAACCAATGAATAGTATCACCCATAATTGAGCTTATGTAGACTATCTTTCATATCCTTAAAAAGCTAGTAGAACGACTTTTGAACAGTATGTGGAAGATAGTGGGAGGTTATGCGAAAAGTTTCTGAAAACTAATTGAAATCCTCATGCAGATTAAACAAAAAAAAAGTTAAATTACACTTCTATTCTTAAGGATAACGAGTGTTCCTGTCCACTGGGATACACCGGAGAAAGATGTGAAGTTTGCTCCATCGGTCACGTACGTGAGAAAGACCGGTGCATTCCTGAGGTGAACTACGTTAAGCTTATCTTTACCTATTAAATCATGGCTTGTAAATACACTTATAGAAATTACCTTCGCAGTACCCCTTAATGAATTCTGACGAAAATTCCTTTTCTTTAAACTTCTCGCAGCAATCGTCTAGGCTTCTACGGAAGTCTACGAGTATCATTTCATGATTCACGTTATGTATACAGCGGGTCGACATTAGCTACAATCAACGTCCAGATTGTATTAGAGAGGACATCACCATAGAGGACACTTGTGCGCTCTTGTGGTTCACGCTGCCATTCCTCTCGCTCGACCTTCGTCAACTCCCCTCATCTACTAACCAATTCATATCTTTTTCCATTTAGATGTATAAATTTTTCATTCACGAAGATAAAATGTCAAGAAATCCGGATATTAAATGCTTTAATATTTCTGATGGCATTCTCTGGAAGGCAAGCATAATTATTGACCTGTTCAAAGTAGTAACTCTTATTTCAGCTAAGTGAGTAACGGAACCATTGTCATACCAAACACAAAAAGTGGTTGTGGATATCTGGGTCAACTAGGTGAACAATAACTTCTAAGGTGTGAAGGTGACCAATAATAAGGAAAAGTTGATTTCCATTCCTTGCCGTGGTTATCCTTCTGCATTCTATTGCATTCTAGGCAAATAGAAGATGTGGTCCTACGTGGTCGCGGAACTACACATCCTAATTCGTCATCTATCGCATGCAGCATTCTTCAAACTATGCTCTCCTACATTGATGCTAAGAGATTTGTAAAAGCCCGGACCGTAGGTGCCCGTGATGGATAACGAACGCGCTATTACCCTTTCCTGGGGCTAACGGACTCAGTATCACATCATGCCGGCCTTTTGTTTTGCCTGTGTCTCAGCTAGTTCTAGTTCTAACCATTCCCGGTGGATCATGTGTTATCCGCTGCACCACTGAGGTCTTTGTCGTGTCTTTCTCTCAATTCTCTCTCTCTGCCTAATGGTGCCATCAGCAATCACCCGTCAGCGGGATTGATCTAGGGAGCCCAAATCGGCAACGAACCCAGTTAAGCTGATGCTGTAGTTCGCAAAAGATCCGCATGGAGTGGTGGTGAACGTGTTAGCCCTCGGAAGAGGTAATATCGCGTTCGTTCCCCACCGCAAACACCTGCTGTCCGGAGTTTTGCGAATATTTCAGCATCGTTGTGGTTGTATTTCGCATTATACTCTGCCGTGAAAATTATAGTAGGCAGCAAATGAAAAGCTTTATACGAAAAGAATTCTTCGGGAGATCGGTTTCTCTCAGATAGGCGATAATCGCTAACATAATTTGCAAGTGGGCATCCGAACGGAAGTACCGTTACTACGCTGTTTACAAAACTTGTATATTACACTACAAATGAATAAACTACTCTTGAAGAGATGGAAAATCGAACACCTTTTTGCAGAACGAAAATACTGAAACATCATATTCAGAATTAGCAAAAGTAGGCATTAATATAAAATCAGAGATTTGAACTGCAAATTCCCAATCTCTAAGTAAGAACAAGAAGTTGTCTAGTTGCCGTCTCGCAAAATATATTGAAATTCAAACTAATAAAAGCACAAGATAAATGCATTAGGCTTCATCAAGAGTATTTTCACAAACCAATTTCCCATCCTATTTCAGGTATCTGAGTCGTCTCTGCTGTCGAACGCTGGAAGTTTGACATCACAAACCTTCTCCTGGCCAATCATAATCATCGGCTGTGTGGCCGCAATTATTGCCATTCTTTTCATCAGCATTGTGGGTGTGGCAATTCAACGATGGAGTTCGAAAACTTCTAGAGAAAGCAGTGTTCGAGGACAACCGGATGCTACCGACGTTTAAGTGATTTAGGTAATTTCTAAACAATGTAGTCCATAGTGAAACTAGTATTACTATTGGCTTTTTTGTATCAAGGGCTTGTCAATCGCTGCTTAAAGTCGCCCTTTGTCTAAATCAAATCAGATCAAAAATACTTCTCAAAGACTAGAACAGAACTGACAACCTACGCCATTATAGATAAGCTTTACTTCTTAAGATAACGCAGTAAACTTGTGTGCTACTATTTAGTTCATTTTACGAACAGAGACTAAACGCATCCTTAATTAGACTTACAACCGACTTTGTATTAACCTCGGCATTGATCAAATAATTCTTTTATTCTTGTTGAGCAAAGATAAAGGTGTTGTTTTAATTTTCATTGCGGTGAAACCGACGTCTTGGGTGATTTCGTTTTCTTCAAAGCCTGGAAAAGCTCACTGACAGAAATTTACACAGCCAAACAGAGTAAACGCCAAACCAAGACACCAATCGCACTGAAAGCAAAATAGCATCATCGGACATTACCCGCTTTCTATGAGTCTTCCGCCGAGTATTCCACATAGAGACCAACCGCGCAGAGTTCACATGGAACTATAATGTGCCTCTCTCATATTAAAATCTCAGTTTTAATTGCTAGGTGAGACCATGCATTCATTCCTCCTTGCTGTTCATTTCTTTTCGCTGTTCATCCTACTCTTCATTTGAAAGGAATTAAGTGCAGCTATAAAATGTTTCTTAAGAAGGACCAGTCTAGAGAAATCGGTAACAATAATTGAAACAGCATCGAACACTCTAAGACACCAGCTAGTTCGTAACCACCTGTTTGAACGTCCAGGTGCAGCGCAAAATTGCACAGTACTCCCTAACTATAGGGACGGCGATTGCACGAATTCGGGTACAGTATGTCTGATCTCTTAAAAAGTATGTAGGGAAGAATACATTGGCGAAACGTGCAGACCACTCTGTGTACCTCTAACAGAACAGCTGGACGGTAAACTTAAACCAAGTACTCCAATTGCCGTGCGTAGAACACATATAAACGGGGAGGTATCAAACTAGTGGTATGGTAGCAAACCTCCTTCTGATCCACAAGGGCTGCGACTACCGAATCCAAAAAAATACAGTTGCTAAACCAGAACTCCAAAAAGTAGAGATTATCCTGGGATCCGCACAACTAGTTAGGACGGGCTGTTCCAGTATCCAAGTATTTCAATGTGAGAGAGGCACATTACGCTTCAAGTTAACTCTGTGTGGTCGGTCTCCACGTGGCATATCTCGTGGAAAACTCATAGAAAGCGGTGAGTGGACAAAAATGTTATTTTGCTTTCAATGCGTTTGATGCATTTCGATCTAGCATCTCCTGTTTGATGATGGCCGCGTTTGCCCGAGTAGATTGCAGCCAACTAAACCTTCTCGGTCTCTGAGGAAGGCGAGATCCGCTTAAACAGCTTCACCGTAATAAAGAATAAAATGACATCTTGTACTTGCTCAACTAGAATATAAAGAATTATTCACAGTGTCTTTACAAGCCCTTCGCAATGTGTTAGGTCATTCTACACAAGTTGTACAAAACCGTATTTATAGATTACTACTCTCTTCACCGTCAACCTTTCCTGGACACGGAAACACGTTTCTTTCCAACGTCGTTGATTGCCAGCTACGTATTCAATACTCTTCAAAACGTCCATCGTGTGATGCATTTAGGTGTTTCTTACGCTACTCTCAGGAAAATAATCTACTCATTGTACAGGTAGCGCGTGTCCCACGCCATTATTCAATGTGTATTTTACGTTAATTGTTCAATCATCTGAACTCTAGTATGAATTTGTATGCGTCCCGTATCTAACGGTGAAAACCTGACGTAAACAACTAAGATAAGGCAACAGTAACAGTCCCAATCTTCATACGATAAAACGGAACATTTGAATAAATTACGCAAGCGATCGATCATTAAGGTATTAATCAATGAGAAGCATAAAACTGTGTAATAAATGAACATTCTATACTGTACATGAGAAATAAAGCACGTTTCATGTATTTGATCCGTCGAAGGCATTTTAATATCACGGACAAAGCATCCAAATCATAACTGGACGATAGAACTGAAAGACATAAAAGATGCTCTTAACTTTAAAATCAAGTTTTTGTTGAATCCCCATCCTCGCTAGGTCCGTAGGTTGAACCTGCTGGAGTAGTTTGGGATGAAGGACGCCTCTCACCGATATCGTTACCGCCAAGAGAATTGGAACTTGGTGCATGTACTGTCGCAAACTCGTCACCTAGAATATATTTGTTACGAACGACGGTCAAGTCTATTCAATTATGGTAGTATGACATTCGCCCATTCAACCTTTTCATTTTACTGGTAGTTGAGAAGAAATCTAATTCACTACCTCTTATAATAGAATTAATGCTTTCAAATCTCCTTAGATCTCGCGAAGTAGAAATATGACGACGATCACTTGATAACGCAATACGGTTCTATAACTCTTTGATTATTTGAGGACGGCTCACTGCGACAAGAATTTTAGGAATGAAGAGTTACTAACTCTGAGAGCGTTCATGTCTCGTGTTAACGAATCATTCACTTCGTTCGCATCCATCAGTTGTCTTGACAACTCTCGATACTTCGACTTTGAAGCGGCTATTTCTTCCTCCAATTCAACAACACGGCGTTGTTCAGCTTTGTATCGCGCATTTGAACGTTCCGACTAGATAAAGTTTTTTCACGCATTAATCATTGCACTTCGATTCATGGAAACCTCTAATATGAGAATAAGTATATTCGAGAGCAATATACGTGGAAAATGTTGCTTTGGTAGATCTTTAGATCCTACCAACTGTCGGTGCTGATCCATCTGACGTCTATCCTCCTCGAGCTGTGCATTCGTCTCCATTAATCGAGCTTCAAGTCGACGGACCTAAATCTCAGAGCATTTTTATTTTCCGGATCTTGGAATCTCTCAACAAAATAGTGCAAAACGTACTTGTCGGCAAAATCGAGCTTTTTCCTGTTCTTCAACCTGAAGCAGCTGCTCTAGCTTTTGAGATTTAGCTTCCGCTGTCGTCAATTGAGTGCGCAAACGATTTGCCGTACTCACTTAAAGTACCCTTTTTAGATAAAACAGGATGCTCGATGAAAAGAAGAAGAATAACAGACACACTTTCTACTTCTTCAACCTGCGCTTTCAACTCTCGAATAGTACGTTCTAGGGTTATCTTCTCAGCATCGGCGCGTTCACATAGCGAGCGTTCCATTGTAAGTTCTGATGTGAGTTGCTCGACCTAACAAACTGGCACACTGATGTTGAACCAGAATTATGAAAATATTGTAGAACCACCTGTGCTTGAGCTTTTCTCAGTTTATCATTTGCGAGTTCGTTGCTGGCCTGCTCCTCGTCAAGCATTTCTTGCAAGTCCGTAATTCGTCTTTCATATCTATACGTCGAACATAGCACATAGAACTTCAACAACACAGCTTCCATAGAAGTACCACAAACCTGTTCTTCTCTTCTTGCCCAAGAACTCCTTTCCGAATGGAAGCTAATTCCTCAACGAGATCGTTTCGCTCAGCTTCGATTTTTCTTCGAGCGGCTTGACAACTGGACAAGTCCTCGGAAAGCCGAGAAATATCTGTTTCCGCTACTCGGAGTCTAAACTGCTAGTTTTCTGGAATTGCTACCCATGTAACGAAACAAAACAGACTTCAACTCTACATGCGAAATTAAAAGAATCTATTTCACAAAAACTACCTTTTCTCAACGTCTCGGGCTCTGCAAACAGCTTCATCCATAGATGCGCGAGCTTCAGCTCCTTCGGTTTCCGCTTCTTTTGTATTCTGTTGAGCTCGCCGTATCTGACGGTTTAATTCCTCATTTTGCTTGGAAAGATGTTCTACTTCCTCTTGCAGAGATTGAATCTGAAATAAACAAACAATTCCCTATATTCTTGCTTAGCAAACAATCTATCAAACTAATAATCTATCAATGTTTTAATTAGACAGAAATTAATTGAACCTGTGTATCCAACTTCTTCCTCATTGCTACGGCTTGCGATTTTAACCGATGTTCTGCGCCTAATTCTTCTTCCAATTCACGCAACTGCAATTAGAGCAGTAACAACTATCGATTTTAATAAGATCAGTTGTTGTCGAAAACCCTCATTTAACGCACTCGATTGGCCATCGATCGTTTTTTGTCCTCTTCATCTTGCTCCCTCTGTGCCAACTGTCTGGCACAATCTTGTCTAGCTCCCTGAAGCATTACTTCTGCTCTAGACTTGGCATCGTCAGCCATCTGAAGTGCGTCTTCTAGTTCGATGATCTGAAACAACAAGTCGTCACTATGCAACCTACTCATGATGCCATATCTAGACCTAAAAGAAAAAAGAAAAAAGAATGAAGACCTGTTCCTTTGCTTGACTAAGTTCCTCCTCCAAACGTTTCTTCATTTTCTCTAATTCAAAGACATTTTTTCCCTCGTCATCCTTCGTGGAAGCCTAAAGAGAAATGCGCGCAAAAATAAAAAACGAACAATGGGAAATTCGGCGAAATGCACCAAATTGTCAACTTCTAGTCGTAAGAACCGTCTTTCTTTTTCCAAAGCTTCATTTTGTTCGCGCAACTCCTTCAATTCCTTAACCGCATTTAAGAAACGTGTCTCCGCATCTCGAGCCTCAAACATGTATGTTACCAACAAACAAACGAGTGAATACATGCAGAACTAACCTGTTGCTGAGCGACATCACGTTCAGACGTTGCTCTGTTCGTAAGCGCTTTTTCATCGGCGAGTTGCTGATCGAACTTCCGTTGTCTACGTTCACATTCCCTCAGAGAAGATGTAATTTCACTGACCTCTCGACATGCATCTTCCGCCAGAACATAGGAATGACAAGTTTTAATACTACACAATGAACGCGATGAACGGCACTGAGGTCACTATTTAATGGAAAGAAAATAAAACAGTAATAAGCTTTCAACCAGACGGTCAACGGCCCTACCTCTTGCTGAGCTTTCAATTTAGCATGTTGGGCTTTGTCACGAGCTACCTCTGCCTCTTCAGCTCTATCTATAGCCGCAGCTAATTCACGCCCATGCAAGCGTTTTGCTTCCTCAACAGACTCAGTAACCGCCTCGTCAAGTCGCTTTCGAGAATCTGCGAGTTGCGATCTAAGTGAAGCTGCTTCCTGTAACAACAATTAGTCAACATGTGACATTTAAATAGAGTGACATATTTCCACACTTTTTCGGATTTTTCAACAGCCTGCTTCAGCTCAAATTGAGTTTCCAGCGACTCGGCGAGGTTGTCCTCTGCTTTGCGTAACTTTGCGGTGAGGTTTGAGCGAGTAATATTTGCCTCTTCACTCGCCTATAATCTAGTGATACAAGTATCTAACCAAAACTTCAGAAATAAGCTATTAAACCTCCGTCATTTCAGAAATCTGCAAGTCAAGAACGGCTATCTTCTTCAATAGGTCTCCATGAGTTCGCATTTCTGATTCTCTCCCTTCCAAAACGGTCTCTAGTTCACTTGTTAACTAAAAAGTAATATAGTAGAAAAAGTAATAAAAAGAGTCCAGTATTATTACGATCGAAATTGTTACTCACTTTTGTTACTCTTGCAAGAAGCTGCTCTTTTTCCTCGCAATACTGTTGCGAACGAAGCGTTTGGTCGGCGAGCTGGTTTTCGGCTACCTAAGAATAAGAATGTAAACCTTCAACAGTGTCATTTTTTAAGCCGTTACTAATCATTTTTAACCTTTCTGCGCCTTTCGCTCTCATTCTGCAATGCTTGCATATTGGTAAGGTCAGTTTTACAAGTAGCTAGCTCAGTCTCAAGTTGAGCAATTGTCTTATCACTCTAAAAACAGCGGTTACAAGACAAAATACGCGGAATTTCGCAAATAACTCACCACTGTTTTGCACTTCTTTAACAAATTCACTTCTTCCACCAGCTCTTCTATTTGCCTCTGATATTTTATGCGTAAAGCTTCACACCGCTCATCAGCTTCACGAATGCTTTCTGTAAGTTGGCTCTAAAATAAAACAATAGTAATATCAAATTATCAACAGTGGTATAAAAACCTCCATAACATATTGCAACATTGAACATTTCAAAATACTGTAGTTTCAATGTATAAATGTAGCGTTCTGAAGATGCCGACATGAACGATACTAAAACAACCAAATAAAATTGTTGTGTATCGATTAATCCCTGCGGAAGACACGGAGGCGGGATCAAACCAGCGGCCGCATGCTTCACCTAGATTGCAGAGCACCTACAACCACTGCGCTACATGCTCTTCAAATATTAATAATTACACAAGACGCGTGCGGCGGAGTGGTCAGAGGCGACCTGCAACACACACGTGGAACCCTGCGCCGGTGGCTCGCCAAGCCTTCCATCCCTCCAGGGTCGGCAAATTGATACTAAACCTGTCTTGGAGGATAACAGCACTGCCTCGATATACCGATAGACCACCGGGGATCATTGTAAAGACCAGATATGCACACAATCACCTCCAGCGACGCTTAATGAAGTTGAATGCATGCAGCATCTCACAGGGATTGTTCGACGCCGACAGCTTCATCCTTTAACTTTTTCATGCAAGTAAAATTTAACCTTGAACATATTTAAGGTTGCTATCTTCACGTTCTCAAATTTCTTTAGCTGAATTTTCGGAAAATTCACCTTCCTTCAAAGCCTAGACGTGTTATACAACCATATTTTACCATTTGGTGAGTACTTTTTAGTTTTAACAAAAACCTGATTTATAACCAAACCAAACACTTTCCCGTTAAAAAGAAAGTTTTCTTCCTCAAAAGGAGTAAAATGACTATTATCCGGTTCACGTATAACGAACAATGAACCTTATTCAAACCAGAAGATTAATCTAAGATAAGGAGTTAAGTCACTTTTGATAATGAGACATTCGTCCGTTCGGTTTTTCAAGTATAAACAAAATGCCTCAAGAGTTTTGCACATTAATGTTTTTGATGCCTGCGCCAATATCTTTAATTTCGCTTTAAAATCACCACCATTGGGTTTGTGCTCTATGTGTACCATTAAGAGAACTTTGCCGGGCTTCCAACTTTCCATCTAGCTGTTCCTTTATGTGGATGGACAGCAAAGTGGTCTAGTGTACACATTTCGCCGTATTGGAAATCGGAATTTCGAATTAAAATTCCGGCTTGCCGATTTCATCTTGCTCCGGACTCACTAAGCTTCTCACTCCTCCGGGGTCGGGAAATTCGTACCGGACTTGTCCGGAAGAAAATCACTCTCTGTATCTCAGGATCCAGTTAAAGATGGAATACAATTCTCAAGCAGCAGCCGAATCCACACGTAAAAAGTTGGAAAACCTTCATGGATGATAGATGCGAAGAGACGAATCAAACACCAGAACTGCTGGGATCCGAATAGTAGATGTAAGACAAGTCGTATAAAAAATATTTATAAAAGCTAACCTATACATACAACTGTAAAATAGACCAAACAAACCTGCAATAAATTATACTCCTCTTCCCGTTTTGTTCTCATTGCATGGTGAGAAGCTGTTTTGCCTTGCGTCTCTTCCAACTCAACTTTGTAGCTTTCAACTTCTTCGCTCAAATCTCGACGCGCTTTCTCAGCCTTCATGCTAAATTAAAAAAGGAATCGAATTGCACCTTTCAAAACGCATTACAAATATAGAATTGTGTGACATTGAACTCTGAGTACAACACGGCTTCGGCGTGTGTCATCCTAATAGAAAACTCTTAATCGTTATATTTTCTATCTAACCGCAAAGAATGTTCCTGTTTCAGATCCTCGAGTGTCTCATCCAGCCGAGTTTGAATCTCGCGAACAACCTTCTCTAGCTGTTGACGAGCTGACGCTTCTTCATCGCATCTAAGGAATGAATGAGGTAAAGAACTACAAAAAGTTGAGGATTATATGGGAGCTTATAACTATTAAACTACCTTACCTAAGCTTGACACCGGTCAATTCCGAGTCTTTACGACTGATTATCTGAGAAAGTTCCTCAATTTTCTGTAGTAGGTTGGCCGTTGATTCCCGTGCTTCCCTTAGTTCGGCATCGACCACTCTTTTGGCAACTTCACATTCACTTCGGGTTAACTTCTCCCTAAACGCGAAAGTATTCATACGCTGAATATAAACCAAATGTAGTAAAAGTACCTTTCTAACTGTTGTTGCATATCGCATAAAGAAATTTCTGCCTTGTTTTTCTGCTTCAGAAGGGATTTCGATTTCTCCTCTTCATCAATTAGACGAGATGACAAGTCCTTCACTCGTTCTTCCAACACGCGCTTTTCTTTTGCAAGCTGCGAAATGTCTGTTATACATCACTCCAAGTTTCCAAATCAGTAGCATTCACTTTAGTATCGATTCTAGGAAAACCACAAAAAGAATACCCTTCCCGCAAATTCTTCGCTATCAACACTTCGTATTTCAATATCCCTCAGCTTTTTCTCGACTTCAACCTTTTCAAGTTGTAATATTTGACGAGCACGCTCCTCCTGCTCAAGACGAAGTTCTATTTCATGTGCGTCCTCCTAAAATCAGCGCTATTTATCGCTAAGTATAAGTCCGTAATATATTTCAATACCATAAGTTTCCTTCGAATACGATCCGCTTCTTCATGTCGTTGTTCTTCCAAACGCAGTTGCTTTTCCAATTGTTCAAGAGCAGATTCCAGCTCTATCTAAATTTCACCACACAGAAGATATATGCCAGGAAAGGAGAACCACTTGAGCACAACAAAATGATTCGCTCACGTTTCGAGCCGCAATACGTTGACGCGCTTCATCTGCTTCAGCACGCTCCATGCTCTCTATATCAAGCTTCTCTTGCAGTCGATTGCGCTCTTCGCCAAACTATAACGAAAGCAATAACAGAACAGAAAGCAAGAGGACAGTATAGCAGTGAACACTTCCCTATCAACACATACTGGACGCTATACACGGATTTAAAATTGCGCGCCGAAAATAATTCAGCCTTCCAACTTCAAACAAATGTATTTTAGCATAAACGAAACACTATTAGTTAAGAAAAAAACACTGAAATCTACAAAATTTTATCAACAGTTCTCTTATTCTACCATCTCAACACTTGTTCCGGAGCGAAGAAATGGCTTCTCTTTTGCCGAGACTCTTATTTTGTGCAGAAAAGTGATTGAATAGAAATCACCCTTTGTTCAGCCCCTCCCGAAACAGACCTTTAAAATATGGCAGTGCTCCCTAGAATACAGTTGCTATCGAGGTCACCTCTACGTTTAAAACTTTAAAATTCAAGATCCTTTTTCTTTTATGAAGTTTAAATTCTCTGAACACCTCAAATGCTATTCGCAGCAAACGTGACCAGAAAGGTAATCACGTCGGTCATCAACACATGGCCAAAATTTGTTAAAATTATCATAATTACGAAAAGGTTATTCACACTGTAACAATATTACTTTTCAACCTCAAACAAAATTATTTCAACTAAGCCCGCAAAGCAAAGTTCTACCTTTTCAATTTCACGAGACATATCATTGATAAATATTTCGCTTCTTCTGAGTCTTTCTGAAGTAGATCTAAGTTGCTGTTCCTTTTCGGCGATTACCATGTCCTTATTTGTTATTTCTAACAACGGCTTGACCTAAAAATGAAATTTGTAATGTTTTCTTAGGCGAAGAATTCCAGATCAGCAACCTTCGTAAACAACTTCCACCAAGGCCAACCACGAAGACGGATACATGCCAAACCATTTCGCTGAATAATCCGAATCGCCGCAGTTCGTTCACGTCGGCGAGTGAAATCAAGACGAGCCAAGAAACCACGACAAAAAGCCTAACATTTAAAAACTGGACTATATCTTCATGTTCCATTTATAAATAGAGAAAATTTCTGCACCGCTCACAGTGTACAACAGTAAAAAAGAAACGATACCTGGAAACCACCAACAAGAATAGCTAATTTGTCATCACGATCTTCTTCTAATCCAGCAATAACACCTGTTCGGAAAAACACTTTTGACTGCCCTATTCGATAGAGAGATGGTTGAACTTCCATTGCTTCGAGAATTCGACTATAAAGATAGTGCAAACTCGTTGAGTTCCTTGAGTCCATCATTAACTTTGTAAGTGATAGCAAACGATAATGTAAAACAAACCGAACAGCTTCCTTCCCATCCATGAATCCCTCAGGAATTGCGCAAGGAGCAAGAAGTTTTTCATATCTTTGTCGAAACTCCTGAAAAAATAAGTTGGTTGCTTCTTCATGATAAGTGTGTTAGATATGATAGTTTAGAAAAACCTGGAATGTGATACGATTGGGAAATCCCTGACGGCAAATCCTTATTCCTTCAAGAACTCCATTGCATCTAAGTTGATCCAACACAAGGTGGGCATTCAAACTGCCATGCTGCAAACAAACGTGCCAAGAAGGCTTTAGAGGAAACCTTCTTGAACTAAAAATTCAGAAAATTTCATTGGATTTTTCGACAACAAAGGAGTAAAGTTCTATTTGAAGTACTATGCTCTTACTCGCTTCTCATGGTTGGGAATAATACATCGTACGAAATGAGGATACGTGTTGTTCAGCGTAGTCATCAGACGTGATAACTGATCTTTGTACATCTGTGATACTGTCCGGAACATTCCTTTCTTCACTCGACTGCCAAACACGGTTGCAGTTTCTGACACTTCAGTAGCCGACAAACAGCACATATCGCTCACTAAATCGAAGTTGATGTATTCATAAAGGTGCTATAACTACACCATTCACCCTTCTAACGGTTTACCGCCTCATCGTGGTTGGAAGTTGTTCCTGGGTGTTGGGTTGCAATGTACATCGAGGGAATTCATTCTCCGGTAGGGTCTTCAAAGCTGAGGAGTACGGTGTTTCTATCAGGAAGTCTAGCTAAGAGTAAACCAATACCAGGATCCACCATCCTCCTGTTATCAAAGTCGTATGGTGGCAAATCTCTCTCTGATCCACAAGGGCTGGGACTGCCTATGGTGGTGAAGACCTGGGGCAGACTTTGGCCAGGCTGACCTCGGGATTCCAAGGAACCACAGTGGCTTAACCAGCAAATTTCCGAAAAATGGAGATTATGCTGAGGCCGGCAGAATTAATGAGTACGGGCCATTCAAGCATCAAGCAGGCATAGTTCTATACTTAGACAGAATGAAGTTAAGTAGGAAAACATGAACTGCTTCGCCAAAAATTAGTGACTGGCTCAGAACCAGTGAAGACGGCCATACAAAGTAAGTACAAGCAGCTATAAGTGTGGGATGCTTCAGGACCTCATGGAAGGATGAATATATATACGCCAATTAATACTTACCGTCCTTCCAGATTTCAGCGACAAGTGGATCCTTGCTAAGCTGAAGAAGCTCGACAACATTTTCATTAAGAGGATCCATGTTCTTGACACGCCATCCCGTAGCTTTGTAATCAACGCGACCAGCGTAATGCACTAGCGCGAAATCACTCCTGAACCGTATTACTGGACAGAATACTAGAAAATGAGAGTAAGAGTTCCAGAAACGGACTTAGAACGCATTTCAGGTATAAGATATTTTGGATGGCTGTGGTGCTGCGAAGCTAGCCTTTCAACAAATCCGACATCATTTCCTTGAGGGAATAGACAGACATCGTCCAAGGTTGATAAAATACCCATAGGCTAAAACTGGTAGTTGCAATGTAGCTCTACAGTAACTTCACTGTGAGAAATACTTTGGCATTACTGTCAAAAAGTTTTTGTTCCGCAAAATTGAAAAATGAGCTAAGCAAAACGCAAAAAAAGGAAAAGTATAGAACAAGCAAAAGCAATAAACCTTCTCAATTAGGTCGATTGTTGGCTTTAGGTTCAAACCAAAATCAATCATATCCCATTCAAGACCCTCGTTGAGATATTCTTGCTGTTCTTTTTCAAACATGGTGTTATTGAATAGCTGCTGCAGCTTTTCATTAGTGTAGTTGATGCAAAGCTGCTCGAAGGAGTTCATTTCGAAAATCTCGAAGCTGAAATCGAAAGGAGAGAACGACGATGAACATGTAAGGGAAATAAAACTACGTAAAATCACCCAGCAATGTCTAGAATTCCAAGAAATGACACAGCATGTTCCCTAGTGCGATCCAGCGATTTATTCAAACGTTGTACCAGCCATCTACACGTTGGAAATAACACTTTTAAGAAATTAAAGTTGAATTTCCCAAAATTTTAGATATTCACACCTGAATAATCGCTCATAAGTTGCTTTTGTTATAGCACCAACGGAAAACCTCGCTTGCTCTTCGTTTTGACTCCGATGCACGTACTCACGACCAACCTGTGAAAAGACCAAAAGTTATTGGGAATCTTAAAATGGCATCATCAATAAGTAACATAAACATACCTTTATCTTTGGTTTCAAAAAAGCTCTCATAACTTCGCTCAAATGAAGTCCCATAAGAGTACAAATTTTCTGAGCTACACTGTCGTTTACCAGAACCGCTTGATCCGAATTCTTTCCCTCATGAGAAAAGTTAAGGTTCCCAAATAGCATAACGGCGGAGACAATTCGCAAGATAGCTAAAAGAAAACAAGATCCATAAACCGTAACCACTACAGGAACATAAGAAGAGCACATTGAATTTCGTCATCTTTAAATCCTATAATATTCATGGCACGCAAGGTTTCCTTGTATTCAACTGCGTCATCAACACCAGCAATGGACACGTCGCCGTTTGAAAGGAAGTGATACTTTTCAGGACAGGACTCAAGTAGTAGTGCTGCTAAAATATCACTTTAGTAAAAAACCATTGGTGATTTCAAAACCTACAGCTAGAAAAAACCAAACCGCGTTGTTCGGTACTGGCTCCTTTAATAATTTGATAAAAAATGTGAAAACATCTTTCCATGGCTGATTGACGAAGAATACGAGATTTCTCCAGAAGATAGAATTCAATGTTAGCTCCAGAAATACAACCGGCGCCATCAAAATGGATCCGTATGAATTTTCCCTAAAACGATTCTAAATAGCATAACGGCCTCTTTGTACTGAAACATTTACGTAGGGACACTCACAAAACGAGATGAATTATCATTCTTAATGGTTTTACTATTTCCAAAAGCCTCTAGAATAGGATTCGCTTGCAGCAGTTGCTCCTCAAGGCGACCCTAGAAAGAGCTGCTCAACATTTTCCAGAAAAGTCTTTAACGAATGTATAGGCGAAAAAGTTCACCTTACTGTTGTGAGACCTCGGAGCAGCGATACGCGCAAGATATTGAATGACCTTTTTAGTGTTCTCGGTTTTCCCAGCACCTGATTCACCGCTGAAACTACGCCAATTTATGAGAGTGGGGAACAATAAATATAAGGTCGGTTAATAGAAAAGGCCTGCTAACGATTCTCCGCCTCATTGTGGCTAGGAGGCGTTAGTGAGTGTTGGGCTGCGATTTATAACGGAGGGATTCATCCCCCAGTAGGGCCACCATAACTAGGGTGTCCGATGTTTCCATCGGAAACCCAGCTAAGAGTAAACCAATACAAACCAATACCACGATCAACTGCCGTCCTAGTATCAAACTAGTCGCATGGTGGCGAACCTCGGAACTCCAGGGAACCACAATAGCTAAACCAGCAAAACTCCGAAAAAAATGGAAATTATGCTGAGGCCTGCACAACCAATAAAGACAGGCCGTTCAAGTATCCAAGTAAGTAGGTGATGGAAAGCAAGTAAAACGACTGAGAAACTGAGAAAACTACGAACGTGCAAAGAATCGATTGATCCTCTTTATCTTGAAGCATACTACGATACGCCTCATCAGTCACAGCAAAAATATGTGGTGGCATCTCCTTCCTCTTCCTTCCCTAGAAAATTTTAACAATTATCGAAAAAATTACTTCACCTTCATTTCGCACAAAATCAGTAGAATATAAACAAAAGAAGAAGACGCATAAAGCAACTGGGTAATATTTCAGGGATTTAAAGGACAGAGTAAACCATTACCAAGATCGCCTTAAAATTACGCTACTAAGAAAATTTAAAGAGGCTCGGTATGTGGTGAGATATGGTGAACTTTGACATTAAAGGTCATCTAAGAATTAAATTATAAAAATAAATATGGAGAAAACCTCAATAAAAACGTTGAATCAGTAAACCCACCTTATACAGCTCAGCAATGGAGTCAGTGTATATGGGCAATCGCTTATATGGGTTTACGACAACACAGAAGAGACCAGAGTATGTCTATAAATAGATCTTTTAACAAAGAACAAGCACTAAATGTCTTCCAAAAGTGCTGAAATGTCGAAAAAAAATATTTTAAAGCCATTGGTAAGTCAACAATAGTTGTAAGGAATTCCAATATCACTTCGCATATTTACCAATACCGTTGATCTATGGTAACCACCAAGATGCACCACCATCTTGGTATCAAACTAATCGCTTGATAGCAAATCTCTCTCTGATTTAAAAGAGCTGAGACTGAATGTGGTGGTGACGACCTGGGGCAGACATTGGCTAGAAACAACAATGGCTAAGCCTACAATACTCCGAAAAATTGGAAATAATGCTGAAGCAAGCACAACCAGTGAGGACGAGCCATGCAAGTATCCAAGTAAGTAGGTTCATCTGTGGTTATCGTTTCATGCCTAACAAGGAGAACAGAACGAGTTTAGACCTTAGCTCAGCCCAGAGGGCGCTCCAGTTGCGTTATTAAATCAACGTTTTCCTCCTTTCTGGCCCAAAATGAACACATTTTAGCACCTAGATGCAATGATATTTGGTGGTAGTTTTAACATATCGATTATTCAAGTGTTCACTTTTTTCTTACTAGGAAAGTCCTTAAAAGTTCAGAGGTTCATTTTCTCTGTAAAGAACAGCCATCACTGAAAATCACAGTCTAAATAGTTTAGAAACGTACATAAATCAGATTGGAGAAGTAACGTTGCCTCAGATTATGAAGAACTGAAGCCTCGTTTAAGCACGACATACTCGACATATCTTCGCATTTGTCGAATCTTGGTGGATTCACTTTCTGATAGTCATCTCGACTAACTCGCTGTCGTTCATGTGATTCCAGAAACTCAACCTCGACATAGCCTGAAAAAGGACCAGCATGTGACCCCGTGATAGAAGAAATTTAGCACTAAGCGCTTGAAAACTTTTAAAAAGTGAATTTATGAAGAAAAATACCCTCGTTGTCCGGTTCATTGATTATAAACGATAGCGCAAAGCCATCTTTCTCATGAGGAACCCATAGTAGAGCTTTACCATGAGCATCAACATTTTTAACTCGTGACATCTCGGTGCCATTGGCCTGGAACCACGTATGTAATTTTCTTTCAAATGCGCGGCAATTTCGAATAGAGTTTTTCCTAAGGTTTTAAAATCAATAACAAACTAGCTCACCTTAAGGATTTTGAGTTCGTCACCAGTTGATGGTACGTCTGTATTCATAGCTTGTTAGCAAACTGAAATAACACTTACACACAATATTAACACCAAATTTGGAATTGAGTGTTATGTAAAAACAAAAGTAATTAAGGGATTAAAGCATGAAGTAAGTAGTAACTGATGAACTCTAATAATGAAGTAAGGAGTAAGTGATAAACTAATGATAAACTCAGGAGAGATAAACTAATGATCAAGGAGTAACTGATAAACTAAGGTGTGAGGAAACTCCACTAAGAAAACATGGATACATCACGTCGTTTCAAATATTTGATTAGATTCTAAAACCTTCTAGAAGAAAAGGACCTAGACATTTCTAGAAGAGTAGATATTCTGGAAAGTAATGTGATTACCCTAGAATAACTTATTACCTTACAGTAATCACATTACTACTTCCATTACAGTAGAATACACAAAAATAACTACCTATACATGAACTTTTGAATATAAATCTCAGATTGCTATGATAGGCTCGGGCAGGACAACGTAGTGTCGGATAGACTTTTTACGTAACGAAACGTCTAGAACGACGTAATCCGACTGTCCTTGAATCGACAGTTTTCCCGCCAGATTTGATCCATTGTGATCGGAGCACCATATCTACAACTAGTAGCTCGCAATGATTTCAGTGTGATTCGGCTTATTTCAGTGTTTTACAACTTGATTCTCATTATTCATAACAAAAGTGTTCATTCGCTGACAGTGTTGATATTGGTTTTGCCTCAACAGTTTCTTTTGTTGTATTTGAATAAACAGACTTGATGATAGCACTAAAGTGCTGGGCTAATCAAGTACGATCTCAAGGTTTAGGATTTGCGTTGACGAGTATAGGAAAAGAGCGCCTCCGTCAAAGTCAGCTTCCATTGATCACCTGGATGCCACTCGTTGAGTCATTTCTTTTTCTTTTCTAAAGAGTACTGTCACCGGTTTAGACGTTTTTAGTGACGCTTAAGAATATTATGCTGTTTTAATAGATTGATGAAATATGTCTCTCTAAGGTATCTGGATAAACAAGTGAGTTTAATGTCCCAATTTTTGAGCACCATATGGAGGAGGTAGGGACAAAGTGTCAAAAACTTCACTTCTGTATATTTTAGTAACAGTGCTTACCCCATTACCGGTAAACTAACCACAAATTGGTTATTCATGTGTTCAACATTACTTAAACCAAGTAAACCTATAAGACGTTAGCCATATCGTCACCACGAGCTGACAATGTATTGGACGAAACACGAACCAAGTGATGGAACCCCTCTATGACTCCAGTCGTAGTCGCAGTAAAATCACGACCACAAACTGAATTGCTAGCGAAGCGCACTCGTTTAAGAACTTATTTCCAAACACTCATCATATATAATGGAAAAAACGAGCAAGGGATTACACTGGGCGGATTAACAAACACAGGATACGGGTTCGGTATGTACAGTTTGCAATCTGATGCCTTAGGGCTGCGACGACATTGCGGGTCCATGCTAGTGTTGTTGGCAATCATTAAGAAGAAAAACGACCAGAATTATAACAATTTATTCAAATATATAAAATGATTTCTGGGTATCACCCATACGAAATGATGTCGGAAAAGGAAAAAAAGAAAGGGCAAAGTTGTTGCATAACAGCGAATCGAGACCTCGTTATTAACTTACAACAAGGAAGTACACCGATACAATCCAGTAAACCATGCGCATAACAGTCGAAACTAAAGAGGACTTGAATTTTATATAGTACAAAATAAAACTGAACGAGGCTTGATCGCTCTGTGCCGCTCGGCTACCGCCGATGTTATGGCGGTACAAAAGTTGTTGTTGGTTTAATTACGCTTGGAATATTTGTTGCACGGTAGCCTAGCGTACGGCTTGAGCTGTTCCAGATAGATACTAACATGGTTAGAAACTGAGTTCCTCAATCGTATTAACAAAGTAGCATAGTGTTAGGTGATGGAATATGGATGGCTGGTGATTTCCATGAAACAGAGCAGGAGGATTGAAACATGCGAGAAACCAACGACTGAAAATAGAGCGTCTAATTCCGAATCGATAGCGGGAAACGAAAAGATACAATATCTGACTAACTGCTTCTCGTTAAGGGCTGGAACACAGAAAGGAAAAAAACTACATCAAACCCTGATAGAGACCTAGATGCTGCATTAGATGGAATATCCCAAAATGTCTTCAACTCTTACACGAACGAAGGAGGGAATTTTGAGGAAGAACCCAACGCGTACATTCTATGTCACCCTACTCTCGGTCAAAGGGAAATCAGTTGATTTCCTCACTAACAAAGATCTCTAACTTAATATAAAAGGAAAGCGCCCACTATGGGACTTACGTACACATTCACAGTAGACACCTTGGATTCTTCTACTACACTCTGCTACATCGCAACTTAAGCCCCTCTTCCAGAAATAAAAAATTCTCGGACCACGTCGCGTCGTGTAATATCTGCGCTTAGGAAGCTACGAAGTGAACACGAAAAAATGTGGCAGGCAAAAAACCATTTGGAGAACAGAGTAGCCCAGAAGAAAACCAATATATATTGTCCCATCTCTCTCTCTTCCACAATACACTGAAATTAATGCACGCAGTTGCTACACTGTTATTATTCACAGCTGATGGATTAAAGTAGAGAAATAAAACAAGTTTTTAGGTTCTAAAAAAGCAGATCGATAGCAAACCTAAGCTTCGCTTTCTTTGGCATTGCTTCCGTTACTGCCGCGACCACGTCCTCCACGTCCACGACCACGTCCTCGACGTCCTCTTCCACGTCCTCCTTCACCACCATTCACTGTTTCAGTCTGAATAATACAACCACGCACTTACTGATTGTAATGGAATTTAGAACATATCCTTACTTGCTGTCCTTCAGCTGATCCGTCTTCGTGATTGGCTGTTGCAAATGAGCCACCGCGCCCTCTTGAACGATAACCACGACCACGAAAACCGCGTCCACGTCCCCCACGGAAGCGTCGTTGACCACCCTGAGATATCTCCAAAAATAAAATTCATCCTTCCAAATTTCCTTTACAAATTCCTTAAATTGCTTTATTTCATTTTGGTATTCTAACTGGAAATATTGGGGGCGCGTGTAGAGCAGTGGTTGGATGCACCCTCCAATACACATGGGGTCGATCCCCAGGCTCACCAAGCCTTCTATCCCGCTGGAGCCGGCAAATTAGTACCAGACTTATCTGGGAGGATAGCAGCACTGGCTCGATACATCGGTAGGCCACAGCGAGTCACTGTAAACGCCAAACATGCATCCAGTGACCTCTAAACGATGTTTAATGGAGTCCAATTCATGGCGTATCCTTCAGGGACAGATCAACGCCGAGAGCTTTGTTCTTTTATCCTTTCACCACTCCAAAGGATAACTATGTAACACAAAAGACCCATGAAAAGTACACTCGTTACAACGCTGATGTGAAGGAAGTGGTGTAGATTTTATAATATCTCTAAACAACCAATGTGACTATTAAAGTTTACGATTTTTACACATATCCACCACGTCATTTTAGTTTCTCACTGAAGAATTTCCATCCCTATTCTTTTACCATATAAACTTTTTCTGCGATGCTTTTTGTATTAAACTGACATCGCACTCACATAAATATTACACTACGCTTCGTCTAGAATAAGTTATTCTCTCGATATCAAAACTTGTAAAGAAGCATCGTTTGTGAAAAGTTTGCCTATGTAACTTCAGCGAATTCACCTCTTCTGTACTGAGATGATCACAAAAAGACAGCTTCCAATGAGGAATGTACTAATACCTTTGTTACACAAATACGACCAAACCTATTCCGCCGCGTTTCCGTACTAAACTGAAGGGCATTTGATACCTCTGTCACGGTGAATAGAGACATTTTGGTCGGTTAGAACGGCGAGAAAAGTCGAGTAGCGATCACGAACGTGGTGAATAAGTGTTAAGTACTTCGATTTTCTTTCTACGAACTGTATCTTTTGTCATATCTCTGCCATATATGGCAGGCAACATATGGAAGAAAACCAGTTCGAACTTCCTCTGGACGATCTCCGTCGTGATCATTGGCAAAACCTCCTGAGTCACGCCCTTCACCACCAGCTGGTGCTCCACGACGTCCACCTCTATAGAAATTACGGCGCCTGTAACGTCGTCCTCCACGTTCAGAATTACGGTCGGCAGCGTACTAAAAGCAAGTATTGGATATGAAAGAGTGTTATTTTTTAAACTACGAAGACCAACTACAAAGGTACTAAGATATTTGCAAAACTCCGGACCACAGCTGTCTGCGGTGGGTAACGAACGCGCTATTACCCTTTCCGGAGGTTAACGCGTTAACCACCACACCATCCGGGTCCACAGTTTCGTCTTTCCCACAGTTACCAGTTTTCTACCTAGCTATGAAGACTGTTCGTTACTACTAATTCCGAAAACTGCCTACGATCTTTCATCTTCAAAAATTCTTCAGAACGCCAATATTGAGCCACAAAGTGACAACAGCACACCTTCGATCCTTGGACTGGTCCTCCATCTTTAGCAGTAACATTGGAGGCTTCGGGTCCTTTTGCTCCTTCGACAACATCGAACATCACCTATGATAACATAAGGCATAACAGTTATATTTGTGAGAAATATTTTGCTTTAGTCATTTCAAAAACATCTTATACCTCCTCTCCATCTCCGAGGCTACGAAGGAACTTGTTCGGATTGTTGTTGGAAATTGCTGTTTGATGGACAAAAATATCCTCATTTGTATCAGTGCGGTTAATGAAGCCATAGCCATTCTTCACATTGAACCACTTAACCACACCTGATACGCTCTTCGCTACGACCTATAGCATCGATCAATCAAAAAATGGTCGTTCTGTATAAAAAAAAACCCTTAATTTGACACCATATTGTCTACTAAAACATTTTGGTTAATGTTCAAGTATAAACAACACCAGTCGATTTTCTCTACCAGCAGTAGTTATCAAGACAAACATGGATACAGTAGGGAATCACATTGGTGGGCAGTTTGCAAAAAGAAAAAAAAAAGAGTAATGAATATTGACTTTTGTGTAAAGAATGAAATTTATTCGACTTAAAAACAAATAAATGGAAATGAAAGAGAGAGGATTATACATGAGTAGCGATTTTGAACGGCGCGTGTAGCGCAATGGGCAACAGACATGGGATCGACCTCGGCGCCCAGTCTCACCAAGCTTTCCATCTCTCCGGGGACGGAAAATTGGTATCAGATTTGTCTGGGAGGATAGCAGCACTGGCTTGATGCACTGCTATGCTACTACAAGTCATTATAAAGGCCAGATATGCATTCAATCACCAACAATAATAAAGTCGAATGCACGCATCCCTCAAGGATTGATCAACGCTGAGAGCTTTATCGTTTTTAACAAATTTGAAGACGAAGATAGCCTCGAGTACTATACGTATGTCTTACGTGCTATATACACCTAATGTTATATAATGTGTACATTGTCTTCCTTAAAACCACGCTTCTTGTGAAAACTGAGTTAAACCAAAAACACCAAACTCACAGGCTTTTCATTCTTTGCGGGTTGCTCAGTTTTTTCCGCGCTCGGCTTTTCCACGACTTCCTGGAATGCAAAAGTTACATTTCCAGGAATTCATATTGATGACGACAATATCGAAATTTCGCAATACTTTCCTCTAAAAGAGGGCCATTTCTAACATGCCTTAAATTCAGAGAAGGTTGGCACAGTAACACTTTCGTCCGTCTCTAAACTGTGATCTTTCCCTCAAATCTGGTGAGACTGAAGAAATTAAACATATTCTTACTGATGTTTAACTACTGAACAACCAATGACCGAAGGAATACTTAGATCTGACACTCCTTTATTGACTTTTAGACGAAGGGAGCCAGTTGTACTAAGTGGGTATGGCACACATTCAGTTCATTTCCTGACTAGATACCTAGTAGGATAGTCCATGGATGGCACAGGTAACATCCTAAAGAGCCTTAGAAAAACTGTAAATACCCAGGTTACTTACGGAATTCTTACTGTCGCTCATGTTGGTGTCGTTCAACGCTCTGATGTTACCAGTTGGTGTTGCGATCTGACACGCCGCGCGCTCACTCCCGCTCACGCGATGTTCTGCGCTGAAAAAGCTTCCTATCAAACTAGGAATAATCCAGGAAGTTGAACAAATCGTAGAGTTTGACGAACGCAAAACAAACAAATGAACTATCGTCATCGAGAAAAGCTAAAAATAATCAATAATAAAACAATCAACAAGCCTTGAAATCGCTGAGCTTACACGAAGCTGATAAGTTAGCTCTGTTAACTATCTTTAAGTTCTTTAACTGTACCTTAAGATAGTTAATAAGCCTAATTTATCAATCTCGTGTAAGTTTAGCGATTTAAATGTGAACGCTAAAGAGTCAGTTTCTACGACTTGACAAGCTTGTCGAATAAACTTCGAACCTAAAGTGCGTTATACAGGAGACTAAGGCCTAAGAGTAGATAAGGTGGACCAGGAAACGAGAGTGTGGGAAGGAAAAACCTAGAGCTTAGACAAACATTACAACAAGAAGATGTGATCCACGCGCCCACTGCTGCTACTGCTGCTTCAGTTGTAGTCAAGTTAATTGATAGATTGCAAAACTTTCGATAAGATAATGTAATAGCAATATGATAGTCACTCAACGAACTACGACAAAGGGAGTGAAAAATCCAGAAAAACAAGGACATCGACGAGAGTGTAGAACTGAGAAGAGAACCGAGAAAATCGGGCGATAGATAGCCCCGAACAGCGTCGAGGCGTGGTTACTAGCGGGCCGCCAATCGATTCGACCGACCATGGGTGGCGGTCTACCCAAGAGCCAGTGAGCCAGCCAGCCACCGCCGGGAATAGCGCCGCGTAGCGCTGACACAGCAGCGACGTGTTCCTCCTGCTCAATGTTTAACTTTTACATACTGCCTATCGGTTTTCATGGCATGGTAACGGGATAAAGGATAAAGCGCTTTGGCGTTGATCAATCCCTGAGCGAAGCACCATGTATTCGACTTCATTATACATTGTTGTAGGTGGTTGAATGGATATATCTCGCCTATAGAGTGATTGGCGGTGGTGTACCGATGTATCGAGTCAGTGCTTCTATCCTCCCAAACAACTCTGGTACCAAATTGCCTACCCCGGAGTGATGGGAGACCTTGGGCGCAGGGATTGATCCCGTGTGTATTGCAGGGCGCCTCTAACTACCGCGCTACACGCCCCACTCATGGCAGGGTATAATGTGATGTAAAACCTGCGATCATTTACAGGGGGCTCACGTGCTTTCCACTACACCAACGGTGACCCTTACTTTACCCTTCCCGCAGCGTTTTTTTCGTCCTTCTCTCAACATGTCCGAAGCCCACCGAAGGTCCCGAGTTTTGCTCATATCTTGGGATCCTTGTAGTTCTATTTCATATCGTAACCTGCTATGAAAACAAGAATAGGCATTAAGGAAGAGTTAAGACATTGTGATTTTGACTTTAGCTTCAGCTTAACTGGTTCCAATGCCGACTTGTGCTCCCTGGATGATCCCGTTGACGGGTTATTCCTTATGCTACCGTTAGGATAAAAAAATGGTTTTGAGAAAGGCAGAGCATGAGCCGGTGGTGCGGTGAAAAACACGTGAGCCCTGGGTAGCATCAGTCACGTCTTCGAATCCCAGCTGAACTTCCGAGTCCCACTCATATTTCTCGATCCTTGTGGTTGTATCTTTTCTGAGTTTCAATTTTCTTCAGTTACAGTTCTTTTTTTCAGTTGCAAAGAAATATCATCTGCTATAGTGCGCATAGCGCAGTGATTAGAGGTGCCCCGTGATAAACACGCGGTCGTTGTTTCGATTCGGCGCACGCCTTCACCAAGTATTCCATCTCCCGGTGCAACAGATTTGTACCAGATTTATCTGGGAAGATAGCAGCACTGACTTAATACATCGGTAGGCCATTACAAGTGAGTGTCTAGCTCAGGTATGCATTCCTTCACCTCTAACGATGCATAGCGAAGTCGAATGCATGGCACATCCTTTAGGGATAGATCAACGTCTAACGCTTCATCCTTTATTGATACTTATCGTCTACCATACACTGATTCGGATAAATTCGTCCTTGATTTGTCTTCGACTCAAGAATCTGCGATGGGTGGCGTTTTCTCTAGATGTCCAGCTAGTGCCATTACTTCCCTTAGGGTGAGATCTTGCAGACGAGAAGAGAAATAGATTGAGAATATATGGTTTAGCGCTATCACCATAGCAGACTAAAACTTCGTTGAGCAGTGTGAACTGCGTGAAATCATGACATATTTCCAGTTGGATAGATGTATTTTGTGATAGATTTTGTCGAAATCATCATTCTCATCTAAAAGTGCTATGAAATTTCAGACTTATGGGACGTCCTTTATTGTACCACAATAACATTGATCGGTTCAAAGATTTCTGATCGGTTCAAAGATTTCTCGTCTGTGATACTATTGACACGTCAATCATTCAGAGACATACATGTGAAGACATACAATATATCCATTTATTGATCCCCGCCACATAGGCATACACATGTACACGTTATACACGCATCACGTATATGAGCAGATGGAAGTAACACACGCCCACACATATGTACGTATACATATGTGCTTATGCATAGGAGGCGTGTGGCGCAGTGGCTGGAGGTGCCCCGTTATGCACATGGGGTCGATTTCCGCGCCCCTGGCCGCCCATGCTTTTCATTCATCCGGGGTCGGAAAATTGGTACCAGGCTTGTTTGGGAAGATAGCAACACTGGCTCGATAAATCCGTAGCCGACCACGAGTCATTACAAAGGCCGGATATGCATCCAATCACCTCCAAGCGATGCTTATTGAAGCCGAATGCATGGCTCATCCTCAGGGATTGATCAAAGCCGAGAGCTTCACCTTTTTTATTTGTGCTTACGTATAGGTATATACAATGGGCCATATATATATATATACATATATATATATACAGACATATATATATCTGCTTCTGTAGACGGATCTATTGCTAGAGGATATGCAAAGACTCGCATGATCCCATATGCTGCTTTATTTTACTGAAGCATTTATAAAGAGGAGCTTAGTGAAAAAAAGCCACATTTTTTCATTTTATAGCACACTTGTAGAGGATGTGGATACAATAATTCTCTATAGCAACTGATCCGATAATTTATTCTACTCGAAAATATGCATTACATAACTATGGCGTAGGAGTTATGGTTGCACTACGGTGCTCCTGTGAAATCTAACGATGTTCGTTTCATCGATGTTATCGGCGTTGTCTAATAAAGTATGCGATCTAAAAGTATGAACAACACAAATATGAGAGCGTTAAAATGTTGTAAAATGAGCATTACAACAAATCCGAGACCATCCAGATTTCTTACACAGCTGACGTACGGGGTGAGCAGCACGAGTTCTCGTACTGAGTGCGAACGTAGAGCGTGTCATTTTAAGTACATTCTTATTAGAAGTTCTGAATCAGAAAAACTGAATGAGAGACTCTTCTCTTGCTTTATGAACCACAAACAAATATGGTTCCATTGAATAAGCGAGGAATTTTTCGACTTTACCTATACAGATGTCTTTTGCTTTCTTTTCTGTGCACATTACCAAACGGTTAACAAGAGTAAGTACTCCATGGCCCGCCCATATTGTCTATTAACATCAGTCGCTGAGATATCGATCGATGATTGATTTCATACAATTTCAATTAATTTCGTATATTTTACATGACCTGTCATCGTATTGTCTGAGCGGATTCCAGCACTTCAATTCGTTTTCCTCGCGTTCATCGTGCACAGTGCTCTTCGAACATTTCGCGTTTTGTTTCGGCTGCTGCTTGAGGAATTCGTCTTCTTTATCAATGATGTAAAATACTGGTTGAGTCGATTGTTCCTGCGATTTTGGAGATAGCCGAACTAAGGCGTTTCCATGTGGATTGCTGGAGAGCGTTAGTGAGGAAGTCAAACTAGTACGTTGATTCTTAATGTATTTTGTTACTAGCCACTTCGCCATCCGCTCTCACTTTCCAAATGTTTAGTTTGCGAAAATACTTACCAGTAATTTACTTTAGAGTAATTTATATCAACCGCTTGGAACAAAAACTTGAACTTTGGCATAAGTTCAGAAATGGTAAAATGAAAGAGGAAATAACGAAGCAGGAAGAAACAAAATAATGCTGCAACTCTTATACATGGGTCATCCTCATGCGAAGGATGGTGGAACAGCTAGTCGCTAGGCTACGTGGTGCGTCAGTTGGTGAATTGGGAAGTGTTTAAACATGGATCATGTCCCCTAAGGCCCAGATGGATTCAGGAGATTAATTCCCTGTCTTAACTGACCTGAATTGACTCATATACTCGTATTTTCTGGCCATGTGCTATACACGAATATTTGCGTGTTGTCCTCAATTTGATCTGGTAAAAAAAAATTAGTGTCAAGTTAGAGAGGAAGTTCATAAGAAGCGGTTCAAAGCAGTCTGTAACAAAGAGACTCTTTTACTTCAAGAGATTCCAGGAAACAACGTAATAGTGTAACTAGTCTCCAACCTGGA